TTCTTACATATATGCACACACACATTTAGTTCTATACATTTTATCATGTGTAGGTTCATGTGTCCACTACCACCACCAGTCAAGATACTCCATCACCACAAGGATCCCTCCTGTTGACCTTTTAAAACAACACCTACCCTACCTCCTCCCCTATCCCTAACACCTGGCCATTATTAATCTGTTCTCCATTACTAAAATTTTTGTCACTTTAATATCATATAGAATTACACCATATGTAATCTTTTAGGATTGGATCTTTTCACTCAGTATAATTCCCTGGAGATTCACCCAAGTTTTTGCATGTGTTGATGGTTTATTACTTTTCATTGCTGAGAACAAGCCACAGTATAGATGTACTACAGTTTGTTTAACTTACCAGTTGAAAGACATCTGTGTTGGTTCCAGCTTGGAGCTCTTACAAATAAAGCATTTTTTACAAAACTATCCTCTATTTATTACAAATAAAGCCACTAAGAACATTGGTGTACTCCTCTTTCCTTTCTGATCACAGATTGATAGATGCTCCTACCTGACTGAAGCTTTTGCTCCTGCTGTGGCAAGCATGACTTGTCACCACACTGTCCTTTCTATGCCAACTCCTAGTGGCTGTAAATACTCTGTCCAGATGCTCCCTGCAGACACTCATCTCTAAGTAGGCACCTCCCATTCATTTCTCCTTAAAGAAACACAACAGAACAAGCATGAGTTAGGGAACCAGACAACCTAGGCTCAAACTGCAAGGGCTCTGCCAGGTATAGTTGTGATTTTTTTTTTTTTTTTTTTTTTTTTTTTTGAGACGGAGTTTCGCTCGTTACCCAGGCTGGAGTGCAATGGCGCGATCTCAGCTCACCGCAACCTCCACCTCCTGGGTTCTGGCAATTCTCCCGCCTCAGCCTCCTGAGTAGCTGGGATTACAGGCATGCGCCACCATGCCCAGCTAATTTTTTGTATTTTTAGTAGAGACGGGGTTTCACTATGTTGACCAGGATGGTCTTGATCTCTTGACCTTGTGATCCAACTGCCTCGGCCTCCCAAAGAGCTGGGATTACAGGCTTGAGCCACCGTGCCCGGCCTAGTTGTGAAATCTTGAGCAAGTCACTTAGCCTTCTGAATCGCTTTCATACTCATCATAATAAACTAATTAATCATTGTTGAGGTTTCTTTACCAACATCGTATAGTGACAGTGCAATGAAATGGTGAAAAGCAGGAACTCTGCTACCAAGCTGCCTGACTTTAAATCCTGGCTCTACCATTTGTCAGCTCTGTGACCCCAGGTAATTTATTTAACCTCTCTGCACCTCAATTTTTCCATTTATACATGGGCGTGTCAACAGTACCTGTCCCATGGGGTTGTTGTGAGAACTGAATTAATACATATAACTAATACATGTAATGCACGTTCAGAACAATGCCTGGCAAAGGGCTTGAGTTCACGAGCATAAGCTCATCTTGCTATGTGGCAGGCACTGTTCTAAGCACTTTATGTAGACTATTTTGTTTAATCTTATCAATAACCGTAATGCAAGTGTTGCTATGAGACTGATTTTACAAATAACAAAATTGAATTAAGGGAGTAAGTCACTTGCTCATAGTCATAGGCCTGGAAGATGAGGGAGCTGAGATTCCTTCTTAAGCCTGTCTTTGTTCTTAACTTCTACACCCTCCTTGCAGCTCATAAACTGGGGGTGTCATTGCCTGGCCTCACAGAGCAGCTTTGAGGATTACAGACAAAAATGTGTCCCATGGTGCTTGGTATTCAAACTGCTCCACATGTTAGTTTGCTTTTAACTACCAGTGGCCAATGTACAGTAGATGATTCTGTAGTTCCATACACCAGAAATTGGCCCCTTAAGACATAACTCAATAAAACAAAGGCAGCAATTTGAAGGTATTGACAGATGCATCTGCAAACATTTGCAATGCTTACCTAACTCAACAATCACAACCAGATTTGGGACAAGTTCATCCAACTCAGCCCATAATTCATTAAAACAAAGCAGCTGTCTCACTTCTTTTTGTTGCAGGACAAGCAAGACCCAAAACTGCCCAGGAATATTTTTGGCTTTGCCCAGGAAAGATGACTAATCTTAAAGAAGCCCTTGGCTCTGCAGCTTAGATCACTGCAGTGCTGATCACCATTTCTCCGTTTCGCCATCCTACCATCCAACCGACCACCAATTGCTGTCTCTCACTTGCTTGTCAGTCACTATTTCTGTCTCTTGTCATCTTGCCTCTCCACCAAACTCTATTGCCACTGTCTCCACTGTCTTATTGCTTCATTGGTCACTGCCTCTTGATTGCTCTATTCATCCCTTTGTGGTTGCCAGGTGTTGCAAGACAAGCAAGCCCCAAAATTAGGGCTTAGCCCAGGAGGGATTTTGGCTTTACCCAGGAAAGAATTCAAGGGTGAGCCAGTGGTGTTAGTGATCTTTTATTGAATGGTTCTGCTCCCTTCAGGGCAGAGTTTATAGGCAGTGCACCCAGCCTCCCTCTAAAATCACTTGAACAAAGGCACACCTCAAACTTTAACTAGACTTACTCTCCACAGAGGTCTGCTCCTATTCTAACTGAGCAACTAGATTTTTAATAATTCTGGAACTCACTTACTACATGGTCAACATACCTCTCCTACAGAGTACATTCCCTGTGAGATTTGTTCTCATTATCCTGCCCCTCTTTAAGCACTGTGAAGCTAAAACATTCTCTTTCCACGGCAATAACCTATGTGATTTGTAAAATCATGCTTTATGTATTTCCACTATACACAACAGCTTTAGAACTAGCTGGAGAGCACAGAATGGCTAATGTATACAGAAAGAGACAAATGTGGTACTGACAAGTAGAAGCAGATGATGGGTTCACTCAGTTTGCAGTTTCTGTAACTGCTCTTATAAGGGTAGGCCAGTCAGATTCTTAAATGTCTGGAAAGTTCAACACTGACTTGTGAGGGTGAAGTGATGGCTATAATCTACCTTCCTTTACTTTTAACTCAAAGGACAAATGAGTTAATAGAATATTCAGGTTTTTTTTTTTCAATTGACTTTAGGACTTGATTGGGGAAATGATAATTAAACATGAAGGCCTTTCAGATTTGGCTAGACGACACAATAACAGGGAAGGATGGGCCTCAAGTTAAGTAGGGAGGAACGAATGAACTAGTGCGTGACGAACATCAAGGATATAGTCAGAAAGTCAAACCAGTGGGCAAGTTTTCAAACTTCTCCTCATATAGTTGCCAGAGGTCTTTATGACATGTTAACTAAGAGGCTTATCATTTTTAGAATTTCCTCATTTCTCAAATATCTTTTAAGTCTTTTATGAAAAGAGACATCATGTTGTGTTAAAAGATAGCAAAAGATCTTAGTCTCTGACATTTGTGAAATATCACACTCGTTGAGTGCCCACTGTGGGTACAATTTTATTCTGGGTTTTTCTAACCTGAATAATTCTGGTTTAAAATTCAGAACACTTCTAGAAATTAAAAAAAAAAAAAAAAAAAAAAAGGCTATTTCTCAGACGGAGACATCAACAGCAACTACCTATAAAATAGTTCTCCCATAAAGTCTTTCATTAAAAACAAGAACAAAAGATAGCATCTTCTTTCAGCAGTAGGAAACCATGAGATCTTGTTATTTGATAATAGGATTGAAAAATTCATATTTGTACACCTAGCACTGATTTCAGATTCGTAGTAATGCCATCTATACAAATTACAATTTCACATTTCAGAGGCCTGTCAACCTGCATATCTATGCTTTAAAAAAAAAACAAACTATCAAAAGCAAGTAAGGAAAATATAGCTTGTCTTTAATATATTTCTAAGATATTATGTAAAGGAAAATAAAAATTGTTTCATAGAGGTTTCTACTTCTTTTAGATCAAATTAATAAAGTTTTTCTTAATCACAGCCTTTAAAAACCTCAATAGTAGGAAAATAAGCATTTACCATAGTAACACCTGAATATTTTACCTATTAAGGTGTTAAGTGAATTGGAAAGACATATATTAATTAGTAGTAAATCTTAGACACTAAAAATTTAAAAGGAAAATAGTGCCAAAAGTGTAGCTGTTACCCAAAACTACAACACTGCAGCTACCCCAAATAAAATAATGAAGCACATACCATCCAAAAACCATCACCATAATCCGGTAGATTCCTGACTCTTAACAAAATTTTGCTACTCAGTATCAGCTTGAATCAATCCGTTATATTGTTTTCTGGGCCCACTAGAAATTCAATTTATGCTACTAGGCTACCTTCCCAGTGCTCTGCAAACCACAGCACAGCATCCAACCAGGTGAGGTGAGGTCAGACTCCACCTTCTTTTTTTTTTAGACGCAGTCTGGCTTTGTCGCCCAGATTGGAGTGCAATGGCGCGATCTCGGCCCACTGCAACCTCCGCCTCCTGGGTTCCAGCGATTCTCCTGCCTCAGCCTCCCGAGTAGCTGGGACTACAGGCACCCACCACCATGCCCAGCTAATTTTTGTATTTTTTGGTTTTTTTGAGATGATGTCTTTCTCTGTCGCCAGGCTGGAGTGTAGTGGCAGGATCTCTGCTCACTGCAACCTCTACCTCCCAGGTGCAAGCGATTCACCTGCCTCAGCCTCCCAAGTAGCTGGGATTACAGGCATGCGCCACCACACCTGGCTAATTTAGTATTTTGAGTAGAGATGGGGTTTCTCCATGTTGGTCGGGCTGGTCTTCAACTCCCGACCTCAGGTGTTCTGCCCGCCTCGGCTTCCCAAAGTGCCGGGATTACAGGCGTGAGCCACCACACCTGACCAGTCCTCGGAATTTAATCACAGTTACGGTCAACAAATTCTTCTTGAGGGGCAAGAACACCTCCAGGAAACGGCTTTAAAGAAGCTAGTTTTAAAAAACAAAACTTATAGGCATTAGTCTCTACAATAAAATAATGCAGTATCTATTATTTTATTAAATACAAAGCTGCATCAAGTTCATAGAAGAGTAAAAGAAAATAAACACACATCACTGCCTGCTTTGGCAATTACCTTTATGGTCTTGGGAGCCCAGACACCAATAGTTATTTCCAGCACAAACCAAAGCACACTCACCACATGCATAAATTCAAACGATACGTCTTCCCTAATTGCTCTGGGAACTCTTGCTGCTTGAAGAATGCATGAATTTCTAGATTATTCACCAGAAAGACAGAAGTTCATCCCCCAGATGGAAATTTCAGATTTTTCTTCTGGTTTGGTTGTTTCTCCATTTTTGTAGAGGTGGGGGGCACCTGCGGTCAGGCTGGTCTCGAACTCCTGACCTCAAGTGATCCCCATCTCAGCCTCCCAAAGCCCTGGGATTACAGGCATGAGTAGCCTCACCCAGCCCCCAGATTTTTCTACTTTACACTAAACAGCCAAACGAAGAACTGGAAACCTGTGGATGGCGTTCTTAAGCCTGTTTCTATGTGACAGTTTAACAGTCTATAAGATGAAGTCACACAAAGGCACACATGGGCACACCCATCCCTGCCTCAACGAATCCCTTCCGATCCTTCCCATAGTCTGTCTTTCTTCATCCTTCTATCCTCACCTATCTCTTTTTCTTGGTAACCTTCTCTTCATAAATCATGATATAGAGAACTTTTTCATTTTCCACAGGCCCTGAATTTACTTTTGTTATCTCTTTTTGTTTAAAGAGAGAGAGAGGGAGAGAGAGAAAAAAAAACTCCCCGCTTGTCCTGCTCCATCTCCCAGATCAGCTCAGATCTCCCAGGAACTCTTCAGGAAGGAGCTCAGCCTACATTTAGAGCTTAAAAGGAGCTAATAACCACTATGAAAATGGCACAGGAAGTCCTCACTGCCTCACAGCGCCCTTCCTTCCACGGTACTGTGTGGCCAAGAAGTACACTTCTGACGATTCTTTCCTGCTGGCTTCTGGTTTGATGATCCTTACGCTCTGGAATTCCTCTGTCAGTCTCCTCTGTAACTGACGGCTTTGACTTCCAGCCCATGTTTTACAAAGGAAGGTTCCCCCAGGGTGGAGGATGTCTGGGGTCATGCCCAGGAGGGACAGGCACAGGCTGATGAGCCTGTCGTGATCGAGGTCCCGGACCCCTGTGGCATTGGGCGCCATGTTGCTCAGAATCACATCTGCTCTCCCGCCAGGAAGCAGCTCTAGGATTCTCTGTGAGGTTCTCGGGTCAGTCACATCAGCAGGACACAGAAAAGTTGCTCCTTCCAGGGGAAATATGTGAAGAAGATCCACCCCAAGCACGAAGCCAACAGGAGAGCTGAGATCTAAGGAAGAAATGACGAATGTGTTATTCATTTATATCCTGAATCTTTTCACAAAAATACAGTACATGCAACAAAGTGATGAAATAAAAATAAAATGTCGACCAAGGCAAAGAGCTAATGTGCAAATAAATGAACACAGGCCTTCTCTCACTATCTATACATCCTATAAAGGCACAGTGGGGGAGGTGACTGTTCTTAACATCTGAGAAGCTGAGGCCTAGACAGGAAGTGACTATCCTAGAGTCAGCATCAGTGATGTGCCGACCTGTGCCAGATGCTAGGACTTCTGATTCCAAATCTGCTATCATTTCAGTACCCAGGGCTCACTCTCTACAAAAGGGTTCTTATCTCTGAGTGGTCTTCTTTATAAACTAAAATGGAAAATAGATCAGGCACAGTGGTTCACACCTGTAATCCCAGCACTTTGGGATGCTGAGGTGGGCAGATCACCTGAGGTCGGGAGTTCGAGACCAGCCTGGCCAACATGGTGAAATCCCGTTTCTACTAAATATACAAAAATGTTGTGCCACCATACAGGCTTGGTGGCACGTGCCTGTAATCCCAGCTACTGAGGAGGCTGAGGCAGGAGAATCGCCGGAACCCAGGAGGCAGAGGTTGCAGTAAGCCAAGATTGCGCCACTGCAATCCAGCCTGGGTGACAGACTCCATTTCAAAAAAAAAAAAAAAAAAAAAAGAAAAGAAAGAAAGAAAATAATATACTAGTACATAAAGTGCCTCTGGATTAAATCAATAAATCCATTATCCAGCTTAATCCAATTGCTTTCAATGTAGAAACTAATGGCAACAAGTCAAGAGACGGGGAAAATGAACAGATTCAATGTAACGTACAAAAACTGATACTGGCTGGGTGCAGTGGTTCACACTAATGAATCCCAGCACTTTTTGAGGCTGAGGTGAGAGGACTGCTTGAGCCCAGGAGATCCAGTCCAGCCTTGGCAACATAGTGACATCCTGTCTCTACAAAAAAAAACATAAAAATTAGCTGGGTCTGGTGCTATGTGCCTATAGTCTCAGCTACTCAGGAGACCCAGCTAAAATGAGGCACGAGATGTCCCATTTTCCTGGGCTGAAGATTAAGGGTTTTCACCTTTGAAAAATGAAGTACTCTTCAAAATACCTGGATTTCCAATGTTTAAGCCAGGAATGAAACACGGACCCTTCCTCTCACCCTACCATTGGAACAGCCTTTCTGTTAAGCAGACTGAAAAAAAAAAAATCTGTGACTGTGCCCTTGGCTTATCAACTCTGACATTTCTCAACAGTACTATGCCCCTCCTCAGTGGAGGGGACTGGAGAGATGGGGGCATTGAGCTTGTGAAGGGGGGCTTTGAATGTAGGTGGAGAGGGAGAAGAGGGGAGGTAGACACTGAGATCAGTTACGGGCAACAACTCTTGTTTTAGGCAGGCGAAGCAATGGTGTCTTTTTAGTTTTATAATGGGTATTACCGAAATATCAGCAAGTTGGCCAGGCATGGTGGCTCATGCCCGTAATCCTAGCACTTTGGCAGCCTGAGGTGGGCAGATCACGAGGTCGGGAGTTCAAGACCAGCCTGGCCAAGATGGTGTAACCTCGTCTCTACTAAAAAAAAAATTAAAAAAAAATAAAAAATAAAAATAGCTGGGCAAGGTGGCACGGGCCTATAATAATCCCAGCTACTCGGGAGGCTGAGGCAGAGAAATGCTTGAACCTGGCAGGCAGAAGTTGCAGTGAGCTGAAATCACGCCACTGCACGCCAGCGTGGACAACAGAGTGAGACTGTCTCTCAAAAAACAAACAAATATCAGCTTTTTGCGTGTGTGTGAGACAGGGTCTCACTCCATTGCCTGGCCTCAGCTCACTGCTGCCTCAACTTCCGCAGGGTCAAGCGACCCCTCCCACCTCAGCCTCCCAAGTAGCTGGGACCACAGGCACATGCCACCACACCTGGTTAATTTTTTTTGTATTTTTTTGTAGAGAGAGTGTTTCACCATGTTGTCCAGGCTGGTCTCGAACTCCTGACCTCAGGTGATCCTCCCACCTCAGCCTCCAAAACTGCTGGGATTACAGGCATGAGCCACCGCACCTGGCCTCATCCCTCACTTTATGCTCCGGAGCTTTTGCTCCTGTAACATCCCACATGTTACGATCTTGGGAAGGTTCCACCGAAGGCGGCTTTTTGTGACTTACGGGAGGAAAAGAACAGGCAGATCACCCCACGTGCTCTGCTTCTGTCACTTCCTCCTACAAGGCAAACTTTCTTGCTTCATCTCAAGAGCACTTAGGGGAACAGAAACCACAGAAATCAGTTACTCGGAGGACTCCACAGTGATAAGTTCAGCAATAAAAAAAGGAACTGACATTTCTAACACAAATTCACTCATTTAGACAATAATTGTTGAGCTAAAAAAAGAAACAACAAAAAGGCTGTTCAGGACAATTACGGTGGCTCACGCCTGTAATCACAGCACCTTGGGAGGCTGAGGTGGGTGGATCACTTGAGGTCAGGAGTTCGAGACCAGCCTTGCTAACATGACAAAACCCTGTCTCTACTAAAAATACAAAAATTAGCTGGAAATCCATTGAACTCAGGAGATAGAGACTGCAGTGAGCCAAGATCACGCCATTGCACTCCAGCCTGGACAATAGAGTGAGACTATCCCCCAAAAAAAAGAAAAAAAGGGAGGGCTGTTCAAAACCCTGAAGAGGCATATCCTGGCCTAAGTATGGGCAGGGACCACCCAGGAGATGCAGGTAGACACCAAGCGTTCATGGCAAACCTGCAGCAAACCAGCAGTGAGGCTGACCTGTGGATCCAGCGGGCCAGCATTCCAGGTCTGCGCTGTCAACACATCACACAACTCTTGAGCCTCAGTTTTCTCACCAACAAATGGGTACCAGTATCCCTCCTGTAGGGTATCTAGGAACGCTCTGGGTGGACTGTCTTACCCTGTTCAAATGCCAGTGCATGTAGGTACCCTGGCTTGACAGCAGGGAACATCAGTGGCAAGGATATTCACCACAGCACACGCCTCCCAGCAAAAAGCCACAAGCAACCTTGATGCCCACGGTGAGGGAACTGGTAAAGAGCCTAACGTACACGCATATCATGGAACAGGATGTAACTGTTCCCAGTGATGAGTTTCTTAAGTTGTATGGGTGGCTGGTTGATCTCATTATTCAGGGGAATCATTTTATATGGAAAATCTTACTCAAAACCCGAAGATATAAACAGATGAAAACTGTGTCTCAGCTTCTCCCAGAGTGGAGAATCCATAGCCCTGGCCACGAAGCCTCTTCTAGGCTCCAGAGGCAGCAGCCCCAGAGGGGTCACCAGGAAGCCCTAAGGCAGGCATCCCGAAACTACGGCCCGCGGGCCACATGCGGCCCCCTGAGGCCATTAATCCGGCCCCCCGCTGCACTTCAGGAAGGGGCACCTCCTTCATTGGTGGTCAGTGAGAGGAGCACAGTCTGTGGCGGCCCTCCAACGGTCTGAGGGACAGTGAACTGGCCCCCTGTGTAAAAAGTTTGGGGATGCCTGCCCTAAGGCTTACAGGACTTGGAAAGCTCTGGAGTAGATTCAGCTGTGCTGTTGGGGAGAGAGGTCAATATACCATTAAGAGTAGCCAGGCACAGTGGCTCACACCTGTAATCCCAGCACTTTGGGAGGCCAAGGTGGGCAAATTGCCTGAGGTCAGGAGCTCAAGACCAACCTAGCCAATATGATGAAACCCCTTCTTGACTAAAAAAGAAAAAATTAGCTGGCTGTGGTGGCAGGTGCCTGTAATCTCAGGTACTCTGGAGGCTGAGGCAGGAGAATCATTTGAACCTGGGATGCAGAAGTTGCAGTGTGGTGAGATCATGCCACGGCATCCAGTCTCAGCAACAGAGGAGACTCCATCTTGGGGAAGGGGAACAAAAATATATACATACGTGTATTATTAAGCAAAAATAGCTCCAGTGAGGCTGAAAATTAGCAAGAAGAGTATGACCCGACATTGCTTTTGAACACGTGAGGGATCTATGCAAACGCAGGCCTGGAAGGACACACACAGCCGTGCTGAAGCCATTACCCCCAGGAGGTATCATGCGAGGTCATCTTCATTTTCACTGCACCTTTCTACCTTGTCTTTCACTTTGAAAATGGCATGATCCTGTTTTTATTATTATCACTACTGAACCACCAACTCAGAAGTGGATGCTTTCAGAAAAGGGCTCAACCATCCCATATCCACTGGCAGAGGCAGCTTGCCTGTGCCCACTCAGCCTCAGGGTAGACAGAAGGTGCCAACAGCCGTGCAGAGCTCCCACCTGTGCCTGCGGCTTTGACCTTCCGCACTGCCACCTGACTCCACGCCCCAGGAGCTGCCCCACAGTCTAACACCCGAAGGCCGGGCCGCAGAATCTGGTGCTTCTCGTTCATCTCCAAGAGCTTGAAGGTGCTTTGACATCGATAACTCTCCACCTTCGCAGCCTTCACAAATGGGTCCCTAAGATGCCGAGTCAGCCACAGGTGCTCAGCACCTGTCCGTTTCTTGCAGTGACTCCTGGCAGTGTGGAACCCTTTACGCTGAAAGGAAGCACACACCAGCTTCAAGAACCTGGTAGGAGAGAAGAGGAGCAGGCAGGTTGGCATCACACGGATGGGCAGGTCATGATCTGGGAGGGCCCTCGGTTCAACTCATTCGTTTCTAGAGATGAGGCACCAAGACCCAGGAGGGGAGGTGAACTGACAAAGCAATACAGCCAGAAAGCAGGCATTGCAGGCCAAACTGTGTCCCTACAAAATTCATATATTGATGTCCTAACCCTCAGTACCTTAGGATATGAGTGTATTCGGAGACAGGGCCCTTAAAGAGGTGACCAAGTTAAAACAAGGTCATAGTGGTAGGCCCTATTCCAACAGGACTAATGTCTTTATAAAAAGAGATTAGGGGCCGGGCATGGTGGCTCATGCCTATAATCCCAGCACTTAGGGAGGCCAAGGCAGGTCTTGGATCACCTGAGGTCAGGAGATCGAGACCATCCTGGCCAACATGGTGAAATCCATCTCTACTAGAAAAAACAAAATACAAAAATTAGCCAGGTGTGGTGGCGCACACTTGTAGTTCCAGCTACTTGGGAGGCTGAGGCAGGAGAATCGCTTGAAGCCAGGGTGCAGAAGTTGCAGTGAGCCGAAATTGTGCCCCTACACTCCAGCCTCAGCAAGAGAGCAATACTTTGTCTAAAAAAAAACAATGAGAAAACCATGCAAGGGATAACCGTGCAATTCCTGCCACGCAGAGGAGGCAAAATCAATATGAAGGGTTAAAACTATTGTTTCTCTGATGAAAAAGGGAAGTACTCATCCAAGTTAGAAAAATACCTTGGCCCTGGTAGCCAGCTTACAGTTCATGAATTCGTCCCCAACACACTGTGCTGATTCCTTTAACTTGTTCTGCACGTCCTGCAAAAGGAAAAGAGAAAACTTCACCCTCTTCTACTAGCAACGAGGAAGCCGATGTGAGGCGAAGGTCACCGCGGAGCAGGGTGTCATCCTTCCTTAGGAGAAATATATTTCCGTGTATTGGCTTTGATTTTAGGATGCTGCAGTCTCTTGACTCTCCCTTAGATGTCTTTCTCCCTGAACAGCACAGCCTGGCTTGGTTGCAGGAGCAACACAAACCTGCAGCTTCTCTCCAGAGGCACGGCCCTCCATCCACAGACCTGGGGGTGACTCTCCAGAGGCACGGCCCCTGTATCCACAGACTGGGGGCAGCAGCAGCCCCAGAGACAGACGGCAGATGCCTGAGACCCTGGTAGATTCCAAAAGCGCAATAGAACAGGGCAAAGGTGTCTTCCTTCCTAGGAATGCATCCATGGCACCAGGAACACCAGAGCCCAGGGAGCTGCTGGGCAGAGTAAGGACAGGCCCAACCCCCGGCATCGGAGCCCTCTCACCTGAACGAGCCTTCAAATCAGGAGGCACCCAGGAGATACAAAGGGAAACCCTAATATGCAGCTGTTCACGCATCCAGGAATTCTAGAATTTCAGAAATGCCTTAAACATCATCTGACTTGACTCTCATTTTACAAAAAAAAAAAAAAAAAAAAAACACCTGAGGTCAAGTGTGTAGTCCCAGCTACTCAGAGCCTGAGGCAGCAGGACTGCTAGCCTGGGTAACATAGTGAGATCCCATCTCTAAAAACAGAAAGGAAGCAAGAAAACTTCCAAGGAAGTGGAAGTTTTGGAAGCCAGGAAGTGACAGATAATGCTATCTATGGAAAGGCCATAGGGAGCGTCCTGCCCCTAGAACAGGAGGGTTGCCCACCTGTGACTCACCACACCCCTCCTCACCTGGCTCCTCTGCTGAGAGCCTCAGCCCCCCCCAGGTCCTGCCCCATTCCTCTCTAACAATCCAGATCTCCTTCCAAAGGAACATTTCCACCCCCAGGGCTCAAAAGATCCTACTGCCTGCTCCAGGTATCCCCAGGGGCATCCCAGGGACAGGCCACCCTCCTACAGGGGGAAGGTCCCTCTGCCTCGAGGGAAATGAAGACAAAAGGAACCAAGACTTGTGTGAAGTCAGCCTGGGAGTGGTGGTATCTTCCTGCAGCAGGGAGGAGGGCAGAGGCCCTCAGGTTCCCATTCAAGAAGTGGTTTCCCTAAAATAGAAGAGTCTGGAAACCTCTATTCCAGTGGAGCCCCCACCCCTCCACGCACAGGGAGAGGGTCCTCCAGGAACAGGCGGGGAGGTAGCACAGATCTTCCCTGGAGGGCTAGCAGCTGCCTCCTCCTCAGGAAACAGGAGCTTTGCTGCAGGGTTTTCCTTTGAGACAGGATCTCACTCTGTCACCCAGGCTGCAGTGCAGTGGCACAATCACAGTTCACTACAAGCTCGACCTCCTGGGTTCAAGCGATTCTCAAGCCTCAGCCTCCTGAGTGACTGGGATTAAAGGTGTGCACCACCATGTCTGGCCTCAGTTCTGTTTTGTTTTAGTAGGGAAGTCTCCCTATGTTGCTCAGCCTGGTTTCAAACACCTGCGCTCAAGGGACTTTCCCACCTCAGCCTCTGAAAGCATTGGGATTAGAGGCATGGGCCACTGTGTGCCCAGCCGAGCTATAGCTTCTTTTTTTTAATGGAATTTCGCTCTGTCACCCAGGCTGGAGTGCAATAGCACCATCTCAGCTCACTGCAACCTCTGCCAGCAGGTTCAGGTAATTCTCTGCTTCAGCCTCCTGAGTAGCTGGGATTACAGGTGCCCGCCACCACACCTGGCTAATTTTTTTTATTTTTAGTAGAAACAGGGTTTCACCATCTTGGCCAGGCTTGCCTTGAACTCCTGACCTTGTGATCCACCCACCTCAGCCTCCTAAAGTGCTGGGATTACAGGTGTGAGCCACCACACCTGGCGCTATAGCTTCTTGACACCCAGTAAGGCTGTGCGGCAGCCGCTGGGAGGAAGGAACCCCGCTCGGATGTCTGACTGAGCACATGTACAAGAAGTTGATTCCCAGATGCAGGTCTGTGCTGTGGCTCTGACATGGAGGCTCAGCGTGCTTTCTCAGTGCTCCACAGTCAGACAGGGCCTTGTTTTAAGTGAACACTTCTTCCCATCTGGAGTCTCTCATCTCCCTAAACCCTCCAAGCCATCCAGTTTAAAACCTCAAAGTGACGGCAGAGATCCAGGATCTCCATGTAGATTTACAAAATCCTGCCAAGTCAACACCAGAACACCTCTGAAAATCACATTCGGGCTGTTATCTGGACAGGAAAGAAGTGTTGTCCATGTCATTCCTACTGGGCGTCCAAACAAGGGACCAGGAGGATAAGAAACCAAACCTGAGAGGAAAAAGCAGCTTCAGAGGCTTGGGGGCTCCGGGGACAGGGACACGCCGGGGGCAGACACACTCACCGAGCCGCTGAAGGACAGGAAGAGCTTGAGAAGCACATCCTTGGAGAACAGGGGGTGCCGTGCCACCAGGTTGACAAAGCGCTTCAGAGCTCTCCTCCTGGCCTCGATGAACTCCCTGTCAGCTGGAGGAGTGCACAGGGTCACTGGACAGAGTACAGGGTGCCAGCCCCCATCTTCCGCTCTGAATGAGTTCTCAAAGCTCTCCCTAGAGGCGGCTGAGCAACCAGCGACTAGTGGAGGGCACTGGCTGGGCCCCTAGTGCTACCCAGATAACAAGCCTGCAAAAGCTGCCCAGAGCAAGAGCCCCACCCCCAAACCCTGCCTCCAGCCACACACACGTGGGTCCAGGAGCTGCCAGTGAAAACCACAGATCTGCTCCTTTCCATCAAGAGTCCTATGAACCAAATGAGTGGTCACCTGATCACCTCCATTAAAGACACCTTCCATAATCCCTTCCTGGCACTTCTCTCCAGGGAAAAAATGGATTTTGCTAGCTCCAACACTAACACAATGCAGGTTTTCTTTTATTTTTTTAATTTTAATTTTTTCGTGATGGCACCATCTTGGACTTTTTGATGTCCTTTTTTTTTGAAACAGAGTTTCGCTCTTACTGTCCAGGCTGGAGTGCAGTGGCGCAATCTCAGCTGACTGCAACGTTTGCCTCTTGGGTTCAATCTATTCTCCTGTCTCAGCGTCTGGAGTAGCTGGGATTACAGACAGGTGCCACCACACACAGCTAATCTTTATATTTTTAGTAGAGATGGGGTTTCACCATGTTGGTCAGGCTAGTCCCGAACTCCTGACCTCAGGTAATCGTGCCTCGGCCTCCCAAAGTGCTGAGATTACAGGCATGAGCACCATGCCAGGTCAAGATTTTCTATTCACTGTGCTTATAACTCACTCTGCAATGGATCCAATTACTAATTGCTTCCATTCAGGTTAAATATTTTCACTCCAAAGGGAAAGAAAGTAAAAGCATATATTGATGCATTCAGGACATTTCAATCTGAACACAAACAAAAATGGTATTTAAATACCTGTTTTTTTCTTTTTTGAGACGGAGTCTCGCTTGTCAGGCAAGAGTATAGTGGCACAATCTCAGCTCACTGTAACCTCCACCACCTAGGTTCAAGCGATTCTTCTGCCTCAGCCTCCCAAGTAGCTGGGATTACAGGCATGCACCACCACACCCAGCTAATTTTTGTAGTTTTAGTAGAAATGGGGTTTCACCATGTTGGTCAGGCTGGTCTCGAACTCTGACCTCAGATGATTCGCCTATCTCAGTCTCCCAAAGTGTTGGGATTACAGGTGTGAGCCACTGGCTCCTGGTCTTTAAATACTATTTTTAAGTTATTAAGAAATACAGCCGGGTGCAGTGGCTCACGCCTGTAAGCCCAACATCTTGTGAGGCCAGCGTGGGTGGATCACTTGAGGTCACAAAGTTGTACAGCAGCCTGGCCAGCACAGCAAAACCCCGCCTCTAAAAAAACAGAATAAAAGAAAGAAAACAAATAATACAGTTGCTGAGGCCGGCCTCCTGGCTTAGGAGTGGCAGGCTCCTTCCGATTAGGCTGCGCTTCCATAAACGCCAGCATGAGTGGCACAGTACGTGCGTGCAGTTTCTAGGCACCCAACACCGGCCAGCGCTCACGGACTCGGATGCCCAGGATGGAGCCAGCATCATGCATCCCTGTCACATCCTCCGTTCTCTGCTTCCCTGAGCACCCCGTGTGCCCTTCAGCATAAGAATGATCTGCTCTGTGGTGTTCACATGGGGCAGGGAGAAAATCAGATCATCAGGCTCTGGGCTGCTTGCTCAGTGACCCACGAGAGGCAGAAGCATTTATGCACCATCACACGATTTCACACGCAGGGAACTGGCCACTGTGTTAGCTCCCACGCTGCATCCCATCCAGGACACGGTGACTGTGGAAGGGTTGTGAATGGCGGAAAGCCAGCTGATCGGCTCCAAGAACTCGCCTCCCCAGCATGTTTTATCCAGAATTTGAGGAAAGGGCTGATGGAGTGAGCAACAGCGAGACTGGAGCTGGCAGGCACCATCCCTGTGCTCTGCAGCCTCGGGGAACCAGGCCCTGGGAGGGATTCCAAGGTAGTCAATCATCTCCCACTGGCCCGAGGCCATCTTCAGGCAGGGAGGTGAAGGTGCGGCAGCCATGTACTGTTTTTTGTCTCCTGCAAGATGCAGCTTAGACTTCCTGCTTGCAAAATGTCTGTTCTCTTCCGTGAGGTCACTGAGCACTCCCGTGGTGCCCACGGCTTAGGCGGCTCCGATGGCTTGGCAGATGCGGACAGGGCAATCCCAGGCAGGTGAGCGCACAGTGTTCCTGGCAGCCCTCTTGGGAGCTCTGCGGAGCCCTGGTCACTGTGCTCTGGAGAGGGGAACTGGGGTTCTGTTTCATAACTGCACAGCAAGGGCTTTCCCACATGTGGGTCATCCAGCCAGAGGCTCCCATGGGCCCGGGGTGCCAGGTGCCAGTCTCCCAGCCTACACCAAGGCTGGGCTCAAGCCATAGCTCTGCCCCAGACGGCAAAAGGCTTGAGCTTCCCACAGCTCTGCACCTACCCTGTACAAGACGGGGTCGATTCCTGAGCCAGGACCACTGGGTCCAGGAGGTGGGCTGGCTCCCCCCGCCCCCAATGGGCAGCATGCCCAGCTTTACCTCCCAGCATCCTCTTGGGTGGCAGGGCAGGCACCATCCGGTAGGGGAACTTGTGCAGGAGCATCTCCTGGAAGACCACGAAGTCGTTGTACCGTCTGTACACGGAGGACTTGAAGCGCTGCAAGAGAAGGGCTTGGTGCTTACATCCAACAGTGGAAACTCTGCCGCTTCATCACTTCCCTCAACAGAACCCGGAAAACAACAGCAGCGAGCGCATCTTCTCTCACCAGGCATCTACTAAAGGAGGAACCCTGTAATGCCTTCATCTATGGCAATGTCACTTTTAAATTTTGTATAGTTCTTAGGCTGGGCGCGATGGCTCACGCCTTTAATCCCAACACTTTGGGAGGCCAAGGTGGACAGATCACCTGAGGTCAGGAGTTCGAGACCAACCTGGCCAACATGGTGAAACCCTGTCTCTAATAAAAATAAAAAATTAGCCACACTTGGTGGTGCATGCCTGTAATTCCAGCTACTTGGGAGACTGAGGCACAAGTCACTAGAACCAGGAGAAAGATGTTGCAGTGAGCTGAGATGGCACCACTGCACTCCCGCCTGGGGGTGACAGAGGCTGGATAAGAATAACACATTCGGCAGGGCGCGGTGGCTCAAGCCTGTAATCCCAGCACTTTGGGAGGCCGAGGCGGGCGGATCACAAGGTCAAGAGATCGAGACCATCCTGGTCAACACGGTGAAACCCCATCTCTACTAAAAATACAAAAAATTAGCTGGGCATGGTGGCACATGCCTGTAATCCGAGCTACTCAGGAGGCTGAGGCAGGAGAATCGCCTGAACCCAGGGGGCGGAGTTGTGGTGAGCTGAGATCGCGCCATTGCACTCCAGCCTAGGTTACAAGAGCGAAACTCCGTCTCAAAAAAAAAAAAAAAAAAAAAAAGAATAACACATTCTTCACTTCCTTCATGCTATAGCAAGCATCACTGTTGTCTCCTGAAATAGCCCCAACTCTCTTAGAACAGACCAAGCGCTGATTATAAACTAATATGGAGCAGACGCTCGATCCAAACATATTTGCTTACAAACTGCATTGTAAACACCACCATGAATACAACTTTGTGGGAAGCTGTGAGCACAGGCCAAATCCTGGGGCCAAGAGAGCCCAGGTGCCGCTTGTGGAAGGCTCAAGTCCTGATGATTCAGGTCCAGCCCGTGGACGGCACGAGGCGGCACGGGGCTGGTAGCGGCACGAGGCACACCAGGCCGGAATTTTCCAACTGCAAGCTTCCTTTGCCCCGCCTCCCTGCCTGGCTTATTTAAGCTGTGAGCTCAGCAACAATAAACGAGACTTGATCAGACTCCTGTCTTGTCTCCATTTCTCGCGTCTCCTGCCCATCCATCCCCACTCCCTCCCTTCGGGGCCCCTGTTGTCGTCCTGCAGGTCGGGACAGTTTGGCGCCCAAACAGGGACTCGAAGTACGAGGGACACAGTGAGGGACGTCGTCGAAGCCGGCCGGATTGAAGGAAGAAATCCAGAGGAGGAGTCACCGCGGGAACCTGCTGCGGCCTTGCTCTCTGGTAGTAAGTGGACGACGATATTATGGGTCAGGAAATTAGTAAGCATGAGTTATTTGTAGAAGAATTAAGCATAGCATTAAAGGCGCGAGGAGTAAAGGTGAAAGTAAACCGGTTAATTAAATATTTTGATTATATTAAGGACGTTTGTCCCTGGTTCCCTCAGGAAGGAACCATAGATCAAAAATGTTGGAAAAGAGTAGGGGACGCCCTAAAAAATTATTATGATGCTTTTGGACTTCAAAAGGTCCCTGTAATTGCTTTTTCATACTGGAATCTGATAAATGAGGTCATTACCCGAAAACATGACGATCCAGTTATTGCTAATCTCATAACCCAGGGGGAAACTTGCCTGAGAGACTCATGTAAAAACTTGTCCGATAAAAGCCCCCCCTTTAAAGAAAATTCGTTAGTTTTGGAGAAACCAGAACCCAAAGAGGGCAAGGAGAAAAAGTCAGGGGAAGCTGACTTAATGTCATTTAATAGCAACTCTAGTAAAGAGGAACAGAAACCCGCGGAGAGCGGTGGGTCTGTGTGCTCCTTAGAGGAATTTGCTGAACGTGTAGCCGCAGGCCTTAAACAAAAATTAGCTAATCCAAAATATCAAAAGAGGATTGTATGGCTAGCCAGCAGAGCCAATAATTCAGAGGACGAAGGCATTGATGAGGGTATTGATTGGAACGATCTTGAGGGTGAAGCGGCTCGATACCAAAATTCTGATTTGCCGCCTGCCTCACTTCGGCCACCTCCGTATGTGCCTCAGCCTTCAGCTCCATCTATGGCTTTCCCTGCCATTGATCCTCAAAAAGAAACTCAATCTAAAATAGAATATCTTAAAACTCAAATAAAGCTTGAAACTGAACATCAGGAACTTATTAAGCAATTAGAAAAAATCAAACTAGGAAAGGTAAAAGGGGACGCTTGCTTGCCTGTCGCCCCTCCACCTTGTACTGGAGCCATACCTAGGCAGCACCCTGTAACCATGGCACCCTCCGGTACTGACCCTTTCATGTCCACTGCTTTTCCGGTCACTGAAACCATGGACCAACAAAATAACGCCTGGCGGCATCATAATGGGTTTGATTTTAAGGTCATAAAAGAGTTAAAAACAGCGGTGGCACAATATGGTGCAACTGCCCCCTATACTACTGCCATTATAGAGTCTGTGGCCGAAAATTGGCTGACCCCCGGGGACTGGCAGACGTTAGCACGAGCCACACTCTCCGGTGAGGATTATTTATTATGGAAGTCAGAATACCATGAGTGTTGCAAAGAGACTGCTCGCCGCAATGCCCAAGCTAATAATAATTGGACTTTTGATATGCTAGCCGGCGAAGGCAATTTTGCCTCCAGTGACATGCAAATGCAATATGATGCTGGCCTGTATGCCCAGATACAGGCCGCGGGTATGAAGGCTTGGCGAAAGCTCCCCACAAAAGGGGATGCCAGTTCCTCTCTAACTACCATAAAACAAGGCCCCGATGAACCTTTCTCTGAGTTCGTTCATCGCCTTCTTACGGCAGCGGGCAGAATTTTCGGCAGTGCTGAAACTGGAACTGACTTTGTTAAACAACTTGCATTTGAAAATGCTAATGCTGCTTGCCAAGCCGCCATACATCCGTATAAGAAAAGGACAGATCTTTCCGGCTACATCCGCCTTTGTTCTTATATAGGCGCTGCCTATCAGCAGGGCTTAGTAATGGCTGCCGCTTAAGATGCAACTCAGGCTAGACTGTTTAAAAACCCTCAATGATTTTCAAAAATTATTAGGAGACATAAACTGGCTGTTACCTTATCTAAAATTATGCAAAGCTGATCTTAAGCCCCTATACGATATATTGGTAGGAGATCCCAGTCCTACTTAAGACAACTCACCCCTGAAGCAAAGTCAGCTATCAATTTAGTTAACCAAGCTATCAATAACCAAACCATCACCTTTTTCGATATTGACAAACCACTCCAATTTATTATGTCATACCTCATTATCTCCCACAGCTGTGTTCTGGCAAACTGCTCCACTTATGTGGATCCATCTTCCTAATATGCCCACTAAAGTCATTGAACCTTACTACCTTATGGTAGCCAGTCTAATTACCAAAGGAAGAACCCTGGGAAAGGAATATTTCGGACAGGAACCTAACAACATTGTCCAACCTTATACCAAACAGCAGATCCATTGGCTCATGCAAAATACTGAAGCATGGCCCATTGCGCTTGCCTCTTATACTGGCAACCTCGATAATCATTATCCTCCCAATAAGCTGCTAGATTTTGCTAACAGACATGATTTCGTTTTTCCTAAAAATACCAGACTTCATCCTCTTCCAAATGGAATTACCATTTTCACTGACGGGTCATCCACAGGGCTTGCAGCCTTTGTTACCCCAAACCAAACTATCAGCTTTCAATCCCAATCTTCATCTGCCCAATTAGCAGAGCTACATGCAGTTATAGCTGCATTTTCCATGTTTCCCAATGATCCTCTCAATATCTATACAGACAGCGCATACATTGCTACCTCTGTCCCAAAGTTAGAAACAGCCCCATTCATAAAACACACCTCAACTGCTGCAAAACTATTTTCTCAACTACAAAAGCTATTAATTTCCAGAACACAACCTTTCTACATTGGACATTTACGTGCTCATTCAGGCTTACCTGGTCCATTGGCCTCTGGAAATGCCAAGGCAGACCTAGCCACCCGTGTTTTGTTAGTTCAACTTCCTAACACCCCTCTAGCTCAAGCACAATATTCGCACAACTTGCATCATCTTAATGCTCAATCCTTAAGACTACTCCATCACATAACTAGAGAACAAGCCCGACAAATAGTAAAGTCCTGCACACAATGTGCACCTCACTTACCGGTCCCACATCTTGGAGTTAACCCTCGAGGCCTCCTACCTAATGCCCTTTGGCAAATGGATGTTACCCACATCCCAGAATTTGGAAATCTTAAATACATTCATGTTTGCATTGATACTTGTAGTGGATATATCTTTGCCACTTTACAAACCGGAGAAGCCACAAAACATGTTATTGCTCATCTTTTAACTGCCTTTGCATCCCTGGGGTGTCCACGTAAAATCAAAACTGACAACGGGCCTGGTTATGTCAGTACAGCCTTCACTCAATTCTGTACTCAGCTAAACATTCAACATGTTACAGGCATCCCGTACAACCCCCAGGGACAAGGCATAGTAGAAAGAGCTCATCTCACCATAAAAACCACTCTAAATAAAATAAAAAAGGGGGAATGGTACCCCCATAAGGGATCACCAAAAAACCTTTTATCACACTCTTTATTTTAAATTTTTTAACACTGGATCAAGAAGGACACTCCGCTGCTGATCGACACTGGCATTTTGAATCCAAAAGCCATTATGCATCGGTAATATGGAAAGATCCCATGACGGGCGCATGGCATGGCCCGGACCCGGTCCTGATTTGGGGTCGAGGATCGGTGTGCATTTATGCCAAGGAAGCCGATTCGGCCAGGTGGCTTCCCGAGAGACTTGTAAAGCAAGTAAGTATCAAAAAATCCGAAAAACCAACTCCACCCAGGGACGACATCGAGCCCTGAGGGTCTTCTATCTTTTCCCTTTTTAGGAGTCAACAACATGGTATCATTTATCCTGATTGCTTTCCCTCCTTGTCTTACTGTCTAATCGGTCCTGTTATACTCAGCAAACCCAGGAGTTTCTCAGGATCACAAATTGAGGCCATGAAGATGCAGCCCATTCAGGTCCATTACCACAAGCAGGAGATGGTAGACCTAGAGATGGAGCTTGATACCTTTCCTCTCAGGTCACCCGGTGAGCTGAACCGGTTAGCCAATGACGGGCAACTGAGGAGCATGAGTAAGGACACTCCGCCTAAGATAAGGAGGAAAACGTTTTTCCCTCCCCATGATGGATAAGGAGTCAATGTTCTCTCATGTGGGGTCCTCTGACCTAAGACAGGCACGGTTCCCGCGGGTATAACTACCACTCAGCCTAATTTCTAAATAAAATAAAAAAGGGGGACCTGTGGGAAGCTGTGAGCACAGGCCAAATCCTGGGGCCAAGAGAGCCCAGGTGCCGCTTGTGGAAGGCTCAAGTCCTGATGATTCAGGTCCAGCCCGTGGACGGCACGAGGCGGCACGGGGCTGGTAGCGGCACGAGGCACACCAGGCCGGAATTTTCCAACTGCAAGCTTCCTTTGCCCCGCCTCCCTGCCTGGCTTATTTAAGCTGTGAGCTCAGCAACAATAAACGAGACTTGATCAGACTCCTGTCTTGTCTCCATTTCTCGCGTCTCCTGCCCATCCATCCCCACTCCCTCCCTTCGGGGCCCCTGTTGTCGTCCTGCAGGTCGGGACACAACTTCAGACTCCACAAGGTTAACATCCTATTCACTTGAGTAGCCTAATCTGGACCTAATGAAGAGCTTACCCAGGAAACACGCATAAACAATTATCTTTAAAATTAAACCTGTGTGGCCTGGTGTGGTGGCTCAGGCCTGTAATCCCAAGACTTTGGGAGGCCAGGGCAGGTGGATCATGTGAGGTCAGGAGTTTAAGACCAGCCCGGCCAACATGGTGAAACCCCATCTCTACTAAAAACAAAAAAAAATTAGCCAGGTGTGGTGGCAGGCACCTGTAATCTCAGCTACTTGGGAAGCTGAGGCAGGAAAATCACCTTAACCCAGGAGGCAGAGGTTGCAGTGAGTTGAGATCACACCACAGCACTCCAGCCTAGGCAACAGAGACTATCTGAAAAAAAAAAAAAAAAAAAAAATTAAACATATGATATGAAGCACAGTGTCCCCACCACCACTCAGCACACATCTGCTTCAGGTTGCATTTCCCAGGCTCCAGCATGGAGGATGAGCAGGCACATGACTGGAGAACGCACCTGGCAGAGGTTTCCCACCTGGTTGGTAGTTGGCAGGGCGGCCCGTGACAGCATCAGGGGTGGACCAAATTGCCCCCTTAACAATGTTCCCTACATGGCGATGAATTTACATAAGGGACAGGCAGCTTAGTAAGACTGGCAGAAAGGCCAGCTGCTGGCTCCCGGACAAGGAACAGCGTGTCTCACACACTCAGAGCTGCCTCCCCATAGGCTGCCAGGCCCCAGAAGGAAGGGCTAGCTCACTCCGCTCCCCTGTAGCATCCTGTCAGCTGGTCCACATCCCCAACTGTGGCCCAGAGGGCCAGGAACCACGGAAATGCCGGGCAGCAAGGCAGCTTTGACATGGTCCTCGAAGGGAATCCTCCCCTCTCTGACCCCCTTCATCCTTTGCTAGCAGCAGACAACCATTGGAAATGTGTGGCCACAGGCTCTGAAACACAATGAGGCATAGCTGAGCAGACGGCAGGGAAGGGAGACCTGCTCGCTCATCCTTAAGGCCAGGTACAGAGGCTCATGCTTGTGAGCCCAGCACTTTGGCAGGCCAATGTGAGAGGAATGCTTGAGCCAGGAGTTCGAGACCAGCTGAGACAACATAGCAAGCATCAATTTGTAATTAAAAAAAAAAAAAAAAAGCAAGTTTGGACATGGTGGCTCTTTCCTGTAATCCCAGCACTTTGGGAAGCCCAGGTAGGAGGACTGCCTGAGCCCAGGAGTTCAAGACCAGCCTGGACAACATAGCAAGATCCCATCTCTACAAAAAATTTAAAAATTCACTGGGTGTGGTGGCATACACCTGTGGTTCCAGCTACTTAGGAAACTGAGGTGGGAGGATTGTCTGAGCCCAGGAGGTTGAGGCTACAGTGAGCTATGATTGTGCCACAGCACTCCAGGCTGGGCAACAGAGCAAGACCCTGTCTGTTTAAAAACAAAAGCTGGGCGCAGTGCCTCTTGCCTATACTTCCAGTACTTTGGGAGACCAAGGTGGGTGGATCACAAGGTCAGGAGTTCAAGACCAGCCTGACCAATATGGTCAAACTCCATCTCTACTAAAATTACAAAAATTAGCCGGGCATGGTGGCACATGCCTGTAATCCCAGCTACTTGGGAAGCTGAAGCAGAAGAACTGCTTGAACCCGGAGGCAGAGGTGGCAGTGAGCCGAGATGAGCCACTGTACTCCAGCCTGGGCAACAGAGACACTGTCTTAAAAAAAAAATAAATAAAAATAAACACAAACAAAAAGACACACCTTCTACCCAGGACCATTTGCTCATGACGCTTTTCAAACAAACCCCCGGTAGCGCTGTCCGGCCGGAGCTGGGCTGGGGCCACTCTCTACCACACGGGAGTGTGCTCTGCTCTGTCTGTGGGAATCTCCCAATCCCTGCTGACTCCGCAGCTCCCAAGGACAGTGTTGGCTCATCAGTTACTCAATGCTCAGGACGAACAATGAAAACTCTTTATCAGAATCTGTCCTAACGGAACTGAGATAACAAGCAAAGGACAAAGAGAGCCACGATTCCGACGCCAGACAGGCATCAGGCACTCAGTGTCTGTGTCTGATTTGCCCAATATGGGAGTACCCAGCAAGAGGAGGGCCGTGTTATTAAAGGGGATTAGAGTGACACATATTGATCCTGCCAAGCAAATCTTGATTCACTGTTAGGGGTCCGCATTGGATGGGACTGACATTCTAATCCTCAGGGGTTCCCCAGTGTTACAAAGCTAAGCTAGCATGGATCTTGCTTTGTGCTCTGCGGACCATCCGCAGGAGATTCCTAAGAAACAGGACTCCAGAGCAGAGTGGTGGGGAGGACGAGCTGGGCCAGGTGGGGATGCGGCTGGGCCAGAGTGAGGTGCAGGGAGCAGATGCGTGCAAAAGTCTCTGCTGCAAGTTCTGGATCTCGCCTGTAAGCCAGGCGTAGACTCACCCTTCAGCCTTCTTCTGTCGCACCGCCCCTGCCTGGAGGTTTTGAGATGTGACCCTTTCGTCCCCTCCTCCCCCGACACACGCACGATTTGCCAGTTACCTGGCTGGAAACCTCATACTCCACACGCTTCAGGAAGAGGCCCTTCTTCTCCGGAATGAGCTCCACCTGCACAGTGTCCCTGGCCAGCAGCTCCTGCAGGCTGTGGGTCAGCAGCAGTGGGTTCCCCTGCGGCATCTGCATTCAACTGGGGGCTGGGGCCTGCTGCACAATGGCCTGGGGCTCGACGGCCTGGGGCATTGGCAGGTCTGCAGGAGAAAGGGGGAATGATCAATGAGAATAGCAGCTCAAGAGGTGAACCTTGGCTGGGCACAGTGGTGCGCCTCTGTAATCCTGGGACTTTGGAAGGCCGAGGAGGGAGGATCACTTGAGCCCTGGAGTTCAGGACCAGCCTGGACAATATGGTGAAACCCTATCTCTACAAGAAATAAAATAAATTGAAAAGTAGAGGCCAGGCACAGTGACTCACACCCGTAATCCCAGCACTTTGGGAGGCCAAGGCTGGCGGATCATGAGGCTACAAGACTGAGACCATCCCGGCTAACAAAGTGAAACCCGTCTCTAATAAAAATACAAAAAAATAGCCGGGTGTGGTGGCGCACACCTGTTAGTACCAGCTACTAGGGAGGCTGAGGCAGGAGAATCGCTTGAACCCGGGAGGCAGAAGTTGCAGTGAGCCGAGATTGTGCCACTGTACTCCAGCCTGGGTGACAGAGCAAGACTCCATCTGAAACAAATAGAAACAAACAAACAAACAAACAAAATAGAAAAGGGGAGCCTCCCTCTGCTGTGTGCTGGCTCGGCATGTGGACTCTGGCCCAGCAAGTCCCATCCTCAGTCAGACACACTCATTCTTTCACACTACAAAGTCAACACTGGGGGTACGTCCTTTTCTTTAAAAAAAATCATGGTGGTCAGGCGCCATGGCTCATGCCTGTAATCCTAGAACTCCGGCAGACTGAGGCTAGAGGATCGCTTGTGCTCAGGGGTTGGAGACCACCCTGGGAAAGACAGCAAAACCCCACCTCTACAAAAAATACAAAATTAGCCAGGCATGGTGGCTCACTGGATAATTTTGTAGTCCCAGCTACTAGGGAGGCTGAGGTGAGAGGATTGCCTGAGCCTGGGAGGTCGAGGCTACAGTGTGAGCCATGGTTGCACCACTGTATTCTGGCCTAGGCAACAGAGTGAGACCATCTCAAAAAAAAAAAAAAAAAAAAAAAATGACTGCCCTGGGAGGCTTCCACCTGCTCATGAATCAGCAAGTACACCCACATTTCTGTGACCAGACCAAATCGAATCTAGTCTTAACCTTGAGGAAGGAAAACAAAGTGAAATATGTACAAGTTATATGTGAAACACAGTCCTCCTTTTCTCTAGAGCCAGGAGAAGGGACTCAACTCAAAGAAACTGGCCACAGGATCTTCTCTATGCCCCAGTGTGTCCACAGTGAACACGTTACTTTCTATGCCAAAAAATCATCCGGACAGGAGGGAGGGAAGGAGGAGAGGGAGGGAAGAAAGAGAAAAAACTCCAGGCCTGCTTACAGCTCACACTCCCAACCATATGCACTGAAGAATTAAGCCTGAAAACTCCAGCCGCCTTACAGACAAGAAGCCACTGTGCACCCGCACAAAGCAGCACCAGCAAACCAGAGATTCCATGCCCAGCAATTTGCAAAGAAAAAACCAAAACAGGCCAGGCGCGGTGGCTCACACCTGTCATCCCAGAACTTTGGGAGGCTGAGGCGGGCAGATCACGAAGTCAAGAGATCGAGACCATCCTGGCTAACATGGTGAAACCCTGTCTCTACTAAAAATACAAAATTAGCTGGGTGTGGTGGCACGCGCCTGTAATCCCAGCTACTCGGGAGGCTGAGGCAGGAGAATCACTTGAACCCAGGAAGCGGAGGTTGCAATGAGCCGAGATTGCGCCACTGCACTCTAGCCTGGGATGTCCACAAGGCACCTGACACAAGCAACTCACCTTAATCTGCTGCTCTTGGTCTGCTCTCACTTCTTGGCTGGCCTGGAGTTCCTGGATTTTCTGACTGGTTTCCTGCCATTTTCTATTTAAAAAAAAAAAATACATCACATACAGAAACAGGCATGTGGCAAGGCCAATAATTCTCTTCAGCCTGAGATCCGCCCCAGCACAGACCCACACACGCTCACTCCCGCCCCAAGGTTCAGGACCCCCACCTGCACAGACCCCCACACACACACTCCCAAGGTCCTGGGCCTCAGCCCCTGCTGACTGGCTCTGAGGCCTCAGTCTGCTCATCCACACGGGGTGCGTAGCGAGCCCACGCCGCCTGCAAGGTCCTCGACAGCAGCAGCACCTGCAGCTTTCACCTGCCGGCCGCAACCCGCAGCCCTGGAGCAGCTGTGACAGAGACCCACCCAGAAATGACCTCTCCTCTCTACTACGAAACTAGAACTCTCCTAAAACCACATCTGCTGACGGAAGGGTCAAACTCTTTAGGAGAGGCCCACGGTGCTGGGCATCTCCTAAATGCTGGGTAGGAGATGCCCCCGGTGCTGACCGCACCTCCACACAAGGCTCTCACGTCTGTACCTTGTCTGAGCCCAGCCCTGTGCCTGGACATCCCTTGCCAGCCACATCCCCTGCACCTCCAAGGCACATGGTGCTACCCTGTAAATCTAGCCCTAAATATGGCACGGTGGCCCACACCTATAATCCCAGCACTCTAGGAGGATGAGGCAGGAGAATCACTTGAGGCCAGGAGCTCAAGACCAGCCTGGGTGACAAAGTGAGATCTCCATTTCTACGAAACATTTTGTAAAATCAGGTAGTTGCAAAATTAGCCAGGCATGGTGGCAGGTGCCTGTAATCTCAGCTACTGAGGAAGCTGAGGCAGGAGAATCACTGAGCCCAAGAGGCAGAGGTTGTGGTGAGCCACTGCACTCAAACCAGGGTGACAGAGCGAGACTCCATCTCAAAAAATTAGCCAGGTGTAGTGCATATGCCTGCAGTCCCAGCTACTCTGGAGGCTGAGACAGGAGGATCGCTTGACCCCAGGAGGGCAAGGCTGCAGCGAGCCATGATTGCGCCACTACACTCTACACTGCATGACAGAGTGAGACCCTGTCTCAAAAAGTAAAGTAAAATCTGCAGGAGCGCTCTCCAGGAAGGAGTGCGAGGACGTTGCTGCCCCCACTCTGCTCCAGGAATATGAGGACACTTCCTGGGTTCATGGTCCTGGCTCCAGGGGCCTCAGTGTCTCCCCCTCTTGACTGTCTGTGAATTAGGACAGCATCTGGGAGTGCATCCACATCCCACCCAGCCACCAGGAGAGAGGCAGACCCCACACCCCAACCCGTGACCCGACCCCTGCCAGCTCCTGCCCTGACCCCACACCCTGGCCCCCACCCACTTGTGCTGCAGGTCCAGCTGCTCCTGGAGCTCCTGCTTCTCTGACTCCAGGTGCTTCACCCTCATCTTCTGATCCATCACGTTACACTGCAGTTCTGAGCTCCTCCCCTTTCAGTGTGCTGATGGTCTGAAAGCAGAGGGGGCCAGAGAGCCACTTAGTGAACCATGACCATGAGCAGGGTAGGGGGCAGAAGGGCAGGGAGGCAGGGGCCAGAGGGGCACAGGGGAGGGGGCAGAGTACAGAGGCAGAGGGGTAGGGAGTTAGGAGGGCAAGGGGGGCAGGGGGGCAGAGGGGCAGAGGGGTGGGGGCTCAGGGGAGCAGAGGAGCAGGGGGCTAGGGGGCAAAGCCACCTCCTTCAGGAGGACATGCATCCAGGCAGACACTGACATGCAGGGCCCACCCTTCTCCAGGCACTCCAGAACAGCACAGCTCAGAGCCTGCCACAGGCCACCCAAGAGCTGATGGAAAACACCCAGGTCCCAGCCAAGGCCCCTGGAAAGGAGGCTTGGTGAGGAGGCTTCAGAAGCAAAAGCCCCCACCAGCCAAGATGGGCCTGGACTCAGGTCTGGCACCTGGCAGTCTCTGTGCCAGTGCCCCACACTCCCAAAGTCCCACCAGGCATCCACGTGCCTGCCACACCATCACTTTGGCCTTCCCTCCAAACGTGGCTCTTGGCATCCCTCCCTAGCCACCCCCATGCTACTGTGCTGGCTGTTTGCTAATGACATCACCTTCGAACAACAGCAAGGCAATGGCCAACCAAAAGGACAAAGATGGAGGCTCTGCAGAGGACTGGGCAGTACCTGCTGGCAGGCCATGTGCTTGGAAGGGGAGTGCTTGGCACGGGAAGGAGCCACCTGGGGAGGCGGTCCCTGAGCAAACCCAGCAGTCCCTCTAGCAGCTTCCAGGACAGCAGATGCAGCTCTGCCTGACATCACGGAACCCAAATGCAGTGCAACCAAACCGCCACACTTCCTCCTGATCATCCCCAAAAGGCAACCTTCTGAGGACCCTAACCCCCTGGAAAAGCTCAGAAAACCCCAGGTATCCTCGGGTCAAGCCAATGTGCAAAGCCAGATGGACACTGAGAAGCATCGCTGTAAGTGAACACATGGAAACACATGGGGGTGATGTCAGCTCTGGGGACCACGCATCCAGGGCAGGACAATGGCAAACTCACACAGCAAACAACCTGGGGTACCTGGCTGGGCGGCACCCCCGGAAACAAGGAGGCCACAGCACTCATTTCCCTGTCCCAGAGAACCCGTGCCCAGCTCAGGGCCGCTGAAGCCCATCACCGCTGTCCACCCAATGCCACTCTGGGAAGGCCGGCGTGGGGCTGTGTGGGCTCCCTGCACACCCACAATCTGTACGGTTTACTTCACCACAATAGTGAGGGGCCAACTTGGGAGTCAAAAAAGAAGAAAGGTATTGAAAACATACTAACAATAAACACATCCTCCCAGAGGTCTTAATACACAGCAGGTGCCAGGGGTGAGCCAGATGCAGAGCCGAGCCCACCTGCCTGCAGGGGCACCCGTGTTGTAAGGGACGCAGGACACTCAGCAAGGAAGAGACACATAAGATAATTCCAGAGTAAGGAGGGTGACAGTCAGGGCCCTGTCACCAGAGAAGGAGGCCAAGGCCTAGTGAGCAGGGAAGGCTTTCCTGAGGAGCTGCCACCTTGGCTTAGATGTGACAGGGCACAGCAGCAGCACCTGCATGCGACAAGCTTCCTCTCACTGTGCCCCGCCCCACCGGGCACCGCCCTGTACCTCCTACAGTCTCCTGCTCCTCTGCCCCTCGTGGAGTGCTAGGCACAACTCACCCTTCCCCATGGAATCCCCGACCTGCCTCCAGCACAGCCCAGCACACAGGGCCTGGAACCCAGAGCAAGGGCAAGGCAACAGTGGCTTCTTAGAAGCCAATCACGCCTCCTCTCCTGCCCACATTCCCTCCAGAGGCAGCTGGGGGAACAACCTGAACACGCCTCCCTATCCCTGCCAAGAAAAACAACCACAACCAGCTTCTGGACCCTTCCAGAAGAGCTGCAGATGGAGAATGTACACTCACCCGGACCCCTACACCTTCACCCCAACACCAGCAGATTTTCATGTTTCCTTTTGGCACCAGCGATCTTAATTATATCTGCAAAATCCCACGGCAACGATACCTAGTCAGTATTTGACTGAACACCTGAGAGACGGTAGAGAAGGTGAGTGTGTAGCAGGAGTCTGGGGGCCTCTCAGAAGTGGGCCTACCACACAGGGCTAGTGATTACAGGTGAGCTTAGTCTCAAAGGGCCCCAGAGACTTGCCAAACAGTTCCAGAGCCAGCCTTTGGGTACGACCTGCTTAGCTGGAGGAAAAGGCAGAGTCACCAACTCTTCATGTGGCCCAGAGCTTTGCAGGGCAGCAGCACAGCATCTCCCAGCACTTAAATGCAGAGTCTCAGGCTACACCCCAGAACTACTGAATCACAATCTTCTCTTTAGGTCGGGCATGGTGGCTCATGCTTGTAATCCCAGCACTTTGGGAGGTCAAGGCTGGTGGATCGCTTGAGGTCAGGAGTTCAAGATCAGCATGGTCAACATGGGGAAACCCCATCTCTACTAAAAATACAAAAATTATCTGGGTACTGTGGCACACACCTGCAGTCCCAGGTACCCGGGAGGCTGAGGCAGGAGAATCGCTTGAACCCGGGAGGTGGAGGCTGCAGTGAGCCCAGATCACACCACTGTACCACTGTACTCCAGCCTGGGTGACACGGTGAGACTTCATCTCAAAAAACAAAACAAAACAAACAAACAAAAAATCTAGGCTGGGCACAGTGGCTCAAGCCTGTAATCCCAGCACTTTGAGGGGACAAGCCGGGTACATCACTTGAGGTCAGGAGTTTGAGACCAGCTTGGCCAACATGGTGAAACCCTGTCTCTACTCAAAACTACAAAAATTAGCCAGGCATGGTGGTGCATGAGATTACACCTGTAATCTCATGTACAGGAGGCTGAGGTGAGAGAATCAGTTGAACCCAGGAGACAGAGGCTACAGTAAGCCAAGACTGCACCACTGCACTCTAGCCTGGATGACAGAGTGAGACCCTGTCTCCAAAATAAAAAAATAATCTTCTTTTTAAACACATTCTCAGGGCATTCACAAGCTCATGAAAGTTTGAGAAGCACCAAAGTAGAGTGGTGGTTCCCAAAGGGGCCAGTTTTGCCCCTGGAACATCTGGCACTGTGTGGAGACACTTCTGATTATCACAGGGGGTGGTCGTATGTGTGTGCTGCTGGCTGACATCAGCGGGTGGAGGCCAGGGATGTTGCTAAACAGCCCACAATGCACAAGAAAGTCCTGAGGAAAAAGAATCACCCAGCCCAAATGTCAAGCATGCCAAGGCCAGGAAAGCCCAGGACGGCGAAGGGAAGTTTCTCCGTCCTCCCACCTGTGTTCGCTGGTGGCCCAGGCCCACACATTCTTTATACCTGTGTTACGGTGTTTCAATTCCCAACTGCTGCTGTTTGGGGGTTCCCAAGACTGTCCAAACTCAGCAGCCTTCCTGGTCTCATTTCTGAGCCTCTCCAGAAGGGCGGGCACCCTGCCTGCAGGGGGCACCACCAGCAGGGACTAGGAGTCCCAGACACACCTGATCCGTGTGCCACCTCTGCCTGGAGCTGACTACAACTGAGACAGGAACTGAAAGCTCGCCCTTACATTTAAATAAACACAGATACGTGAAAAGCAGACAGCACACATTCCCCCAGCCTGCTGTGTTCTCCAGGCCCTCCCTGCCACTCCAGGGCCTCAGCAGGAGAAAATGAACCATGACAGAAGTCCAGGAATGGGATGTGACAGGGGCCAGGGACCAAGGCTGGGCTCGTGGTCATCACTGCGCTAACCACCTCGCTCTGACTACCGCACTCCACCACTGATCCCCTCGCCGAGGAGGCCCTTATCAGTGTGGGCTCTGGGGGCCTCCCAGGTCCAAGTGAGATTCTAGAATCCCACAGCTTTGACAGGTAGGACAAGAGGTCAATGAAATTACAGCATTTCAGACCAGACTTGCCAATCTTTTTTTTTTTTTAAGAGGGAGTCTTGCTCTCTATTTCCCAGGCTGGAGTGCAGTGGCATGATCTCGGCTCACTGTAACCTCTGCCTCCCAGGTTCAAGCAATTCCCCTGCCTCAGCCTCTGGAGTAGCTGGGATTACAGACATCCATGCCCACCTAATTTTTGTATTTTTAGTAGAGATGGGGTTTCACTGTGTTGGCCAGGCTGGTCTCGAACTCCTGACCTCAAGTAATCCACCCACCTCAGCCTCCCAAAGTACTGGGATTACAGGCATGAGCCACTATACCCAGCTCAGAGTTAGCAACTTCTAATTTTGCCAGTGATGAAAAATAACTACCATCTATTACCGTAATTTCATAAAAGAGCATTTTAACAATAAAATATCTATATATGGCCGGGCGCGGTGGCTCAAGCCTGTAATCCCAGCACTTTGGGAGGCCGAGGCGGGTGGATCACGAGGTCGGGAGATCGAGACCAGCCTGGTCAACATGGTGAAACCCCGTCTCTACTAAAAATACAAAAAATTAGCTGGGCATGGTGGCGCGTGCCTATAATCCCAGCTACTCAGGAGGCTGAGGCAGGAGAATTGCCTGAGCCCAGGAGGCGGAGGTTGCGGTGAGCCGAGATCGCGCCATTGCACTCCAGCCTGGGTAACAAGAGCGAAACTCCATCTCAAAAAAAAAAAAAAAAAAAAAAAAAAATATCTATATATATAAAAGACCTTATCTCAGAATAAAAAACAGTCCTCATCAAGAAAGGGCAGTGAGCAAGCTAAGATTCTAAAAAACGCATGTTAATTCAATAATGCAACAAGACGAATGCACATACACACACCACAGTTTCACCAAATGCAGCAGGGCCTCGACTGGGCTCCGAAAGCAGCAGGAAGCCAGAGCCTCCTCTAACAGGGACAGGACTACAGAATGCTTCTGATGCCTGCAGCAGGGACTGCAAAAGAGGGCCCCGGCAGAGGAGCCTATAGAAGCCTGTGCAGCCGCAGGGCCCAGGCAAGGCTGGAGACACCATTCCCCACCACTTCCCAACTGGGACTGGGCCCATCACTCTTTGGAACCTGAAGTCCTTCAGGATACCTGAGTCCTCTGCAGCCGTGTCTACAGTGAGCAATCCCAAGAACTTGTAATGAAGTAAAATACAACTATTTATAGAAGAAAACTATAAAAATCACCCCAAAATCTGCAAATGGCCCTCCACAGTCTGAGACCACAAAACACCCGGTCCTTCGGCTCACTGCCGTGGCTTTCTCTCTGAGCTCACCGGGCACTGTTTTCAACACAGCTTTCCCACGCAGTCCTGGTGCTCACACTCCCAGGCAGTTTGGGTTATGTCCTCAATCAGACGAATGAACTGGCTTTCCGATCCTGTCACCAGAGTCTGTGGGTGCACTTGTGTGAACGCAATGCTGAACACCAGGCCCACTCAGTGTGCTAACAAGACAGGCCTTTAAGCCATGATGACTCAGGGCCCCAAACAGCCTCCAGCTACTGCCCCAAAATGAGGAGTGCCCACAGTGAGACCTGGAAGACGAGTAACTGGTCTCTGGGCTGAGCTAATACTGACCCACATCAACTACAAAAGACTTGAACGGGTCCTGCCTGGGCCTAGGGGTCTCCCCAGAGAAGACTCCCACCCAGGCACATGCCACTCACCTGCATGCTCTGCTGGTACTGCATCTGCAGAGAACCTGGGGCCGAGGTGGGAATATCCAGTCCAGATCCTCCCTCCACACGCTGAGAGATGAAGTTGTTCAAAGACCTCAGGGTGGATAAAACCGTGGTGTTTTCCCCTAGGTCTTCCATGGTTGCTTTCCTTCTGGAGGTGGACAAAGACTGGTCGGATACAGTCTTGCCACGTGCCATCAGCTGTGCAGTCAGGGGCCCTCTGGGCAGCCCCACTCCCCGAACGCACGTTGGAGCCCATGACACACCAGTGTCTGTAACCACATTCTTCAGAGGCAACTGGGAGCCGCGCTGCCAACTTACCAGACAAAAAATGAACACAAGAAAGCATGCCACCAGACCTCTGCCACCAAGCCACCGACTAAGTGTCAACTGCACAGAAGGACAGCTGGTGCCCAGGAGGCGGTGCTCAGCACTCAGGTGGCACATTCCCCTCAAAGCACTGTAAAGATTCTCCAAAGAGAGCCAACAGGACACAGAGACAGACACACGAGAGGGGCTTTATTAGGGAAACTGACTCACACAATTAGGGAGACTGTCCCACAACAGGCCCTCTGCAAACCAGAACCCTAGGAGCCTGGCAGCGTGGCACAGTCCAAGTCTGAAGAGCCAGTGGAGTTGATGGTGTAATTCTCAGTCCGAGGGACTGCCAGGACAAGTTCTGGAGACCAAAGGCCAGCAAGCCTGGAGTGCTGCTGTCAAGGAGAGGAGAGGAAAACTGCATCCCAGCTCCAGCAGGCAGACGGACACATTTGCTTTTTCTCTGTCCTCTCCAGGACCTCAGGCTCTTGAATGATGCCCCCAACACTGAGGGTGGATCTTCCCCACCTGATCCACTCAGACTCCTAAGCTCATCTCCTCTGGAAACACCCTCAGAGGCACACCCAAAAACAAAAACAATGCTTTACCAAGTTTCTAGGAGTTCTTGAATCCAGTCAGTTGACACCTGAAATTAACTATCAGGAGCACTCACAAAAGCCTGGTGTCTTGCCCAGGCATGGTGGCTTACACCTGTGATCCCAGCACTTTGGGAGGCGGAGACACGCAGATCACTTGAGGTCAGGAGTCCAAGACCAGATTGGCCAACATGGTGAAACCCCATTTCTAAGAAAAATGCATAAACTAGCTGGGTGAGGTGGTATGTGCCTGTAATTCCAGCACTACTCAGGAGGCTGTGGCACAAGAATTGCTTGAACCTGGGAGGTGGAGGTTGCAGTGACCTGAGATCACACCACTGCACTCCAGCTTCAGTAACAGAGTGAGACTGTGTCTCAAAATAAATTAATAAAAATAAATTAAGGCCAGGCATGGTGGCTCACACCTGTAATCCCAGCACTTTGCAAGGCCAAGACAGGCAGATCACCTGAGGTCAGGAATTCAAGACCAGCCTGGCCAACATGGTGAAACCCAGTCTCTACTAAAAATACAATAACTAGCTGGATATGGTGGTACACACCTGTAATCACAGATACTCAGGAGGCTAAGACAGGAGAATCACTTGAACCCAGGAGGCAGAGGTTGCAGTGAGCTGAGATCACACCCTTAACTCCAGCCTGGGTGACAGCAAGATTCCATCTCAAAAATAATTTTTTTTTTTTTTTAAAAGTCTGGCCTCTGGGAATCGGAAACGAGACACGCAACAGTGACAGTAAAGATGATGATCACCACAGCTGTGCTAATTTTCATTGTTTATTTCTAATGACATTAACAAGTACTACTACCGTTTTCAACTAGGTACTGGAAAGAAAGGTATCTGACATTTCCGAGCACCTAGACTTGACCTTGAGTTTCCTCATCTGGAAACTCATGAGTGAAATCCACTTGCAAAGTTGTGAGGATCAGGATCAATATCCCTCAAGTCTTCCACTGCTAGATGATGGGAACGTGGCTGCAGGTTGACCAGCACTAAACTTGCAAGCTCAATCTTAACAGGATGGTGAATTAGGTCTTTTTACACAGATTCTAGCAATGATGAAACTGAAGCTTCAAAAGTTACAGAACTGAGGTTGGAACCTGGGTCTGTCTAGCTTTGCAAGGCTGAAGACAAGCCGTAGCAAAGAACTTTGCACCCCTAAAACCTGCACTTACGATGGTCTCACGCCAGGCTGGCCCTCCAGACACGAGGGGAACAGCCAAGCGCGTTTAACAGCCAAAAGGTGGAACTCCTGCAGCTACAGTTTCTGAGCTTTCTTTCTTTTTTTTTTTTAATTGCATTTTAGGTTTGGGGGTACATGTGAAGAACATGCAAGATTGTTGCATAGGTACACACATGGCAGTGTGGTTTGCTGCCTTCCTGCCTCTCACCTGTATCTGCAGTTTCTGAGTTTCCATTCAACAAGAACCTTGGCCTGGTGCAAGCAGGGCCCCCCGAGCTCCCCGGGCTGCAAGCCCCGCACATCCAGGCCCGCCTGGAAGGAGGCTCCACAGCCCAACTCCTCCGTGGCCCAGACGAGACCAGGGCGGCCCCGACCATCTCCGAGGGGAAACCGGGCCCACATGCCCCCTTCCTGAGAGCGGACCCGCGCGAGCCACCAGGGTGGCAAGAGTCCCCGCAGCCCCGACTTCCCCACCAGGCGCCGGCTCAGGCCCCTTCCTCCGCGCGCCCGCGCCCCAGCCCAGGGACCCCCACGGCGGGCACCGGGACCCCGGGGCTGGGGCCACAAGTGCGAGCCCCCCGGCCGCCCGCCCTGCACAAAGCACGGCTGCGGCGCCCGCCCCAGGCGAAGGACCCGCTGTCCCCGGCCCAGCCAGAGATGAGGAGTGGGGACAGTGGAGTGGGGACAGGGAGTGGGGACAGAGGAGTGGGGACAGTGGAGTGGGGACAGTGGAGTGGGAACAGTGGAGTGGGGACAGGGAGTGGGAACAGTGGAGTGGGGAGAGGAGAGAGCACAGAGGGGGACTAGGCGAGAGCGGGGTCCTGAGGCACGGGGTCGGGTCCTTGTGCCCTACCCTTGCAGGCGCCCCTGCACCGGGCCCTCGGCCCCGCCCCTGTCGCGCTCGGCACCCCCGGGACTCCGGGCTCCCGCCGCCCGCACTAGCCGCGCGCCGCTCACCTCAGCGGCCCACGGTCCGCTTGCCGCCGCCGCCGCTGCTCAGCTCTCCCTCCGCTCCGCCCGCGCCCACTTATCGCGACACTTGCGCCTGAGCTCTCGCGCGACCTGGGTGGGAATCGGGCCGTAAAGAATCCAGTTCGAGCGCCCGCTCAACCTGGGTACTCCGCGTCCGCACCCGGAGCTGCCACCCTCGGGAGACTCCGCAAGGAAAAGACTCGGAACCGAAGGCTGGGCCGCGGCGCGGTCGGGGCACCTGTCCCCACGCAGGACGCGCTTCCACTAAGGCTTTCGCCTCGCCCCGTAATGTGTGGAATAGGCGCGCCCACGGCAGCCTCCTCCGGACAAACTGATCTCTGAATTTACCTATTCATCTGTCATGAATGTTCCTGTTTCTCTCTGTCTACCGAATCGAGGAACCTTAATTCTTTATCAGAATATTTTACATGAAGAGTAGACAAATAAAACTCAGAATTGGGCCTTTTATCATTTCACTAGTGGTCCCTAACTCCATTAAGATATGCATATGTGTATGAGGGCCGGGGAAGCTAACGGGGAAGATGAAGAGAAAAAAAGAGTTAGCGAGTCATATTTACCTTATGTGAGACCTAATCTAAAATTTGCCAAATTCAGGGCTGAAATCTGAATAGGTGTATTAAAAAGAGTTGTTACTCTCTCCTTCATATTTGTACCCCATTTCTTGAAATAAAAACCTTAAATACATTTGTAGGTTAAGGAGTTAAAGCTGCCAAACTGCCATTGTAAAAGAGGCCGAATATACAGGCAGAGTGACCAGTTTTTAACTTTGGCCTCAAGGGATACAGGTTCAGACACATCAACCAAGCTTGAGGCAAAAATTCAGAACTAGAGATACCAGCCTTAGTAACCAGAAGGCAACTGCTTTTCTGAAACTTCAGAAATATTCAAGTTGGCAAGGGTAAAATTTGTCTTTAAAGGGAAACACTCAAAAACTTTCTGATCATATTAAGACAGAATATAAGCAGAGTAACATCGTAATGCTGTTAGTATGCCTTTTTAAACCAAATTTATTTATCTTCCTTGCTTACTGACTCCTGCCCCAAAGAAGGAGATTACATAGAAATAGTCTTTACAATAATCTATGTTACAACTTTGCTTTGCTATTTTTTTTGGTCTGAGAAAGATACTAGGGTTTGTGTTTACAAAAGTAAATGAAAGGATCAAATAACATGATTAATACATTTTATTACAAAGGTTTTAGAAGATGAGGGGCAGAGCTAACAAGTTACCTTAATCATTAAAAATCACAAAGTTGGAGAACTTTTTTTAAAAGAGTGAATATCAAAATAGCTCTTAGAAAGACGACAGCTTAATAGTCTCTTAAGTTGCTGAAGAAAACAAAAGAAGGCTTAAATCTGGAGGATAAAAGTTGTATTCAAAAACATGCTAAAGAATACAGTAAAACAAACAAAAAAGAATGAGGAAAAAATAAATTGTGCCTTAGAGGTTAAATCCTATCATGAACACCATTTCTAAAGGGCCATGGCCCCACTTCAATACTCAAACAAACAAACAAAAAAAACTCATTGTTAAAATAGTTTCAACATTCCTTAAGAATTTATCCTGCACATAGGGTAGACATGAAACACATCCGGAAGAGACTCAGAATATCTGCAAACATAAAACTGCTTCTCTAAATTGCACTTACTGGCCTCGAATCCAGTAGAATAGGGTTTAGCTATGACATGAAGTGCGTCATCCTGGGGCGGGGGAACAATTAGAAGAAAACGGGCACTTTGCTATAGTTAATTCATGTGGCTACAAGTATAATAGTCCATCAGCTTCTCCTCAATGCCAAAATCTACTAACAATTTTCAAAAGCAAATGCAACTTTCTATTTCCAAGAATTCATGTGATAAAGGGTAATCACCACAGAGTTTACATATGCTCAGTTTTCTTAAAGCCATAGTTTTTATTCCAGAAAAGAGACAGTACATGGCATTAATAAACCACACATGCCATGAATTTTAGAACACTAAATTATTTTTCTCTAGCTCATCGACCCATTATATCCATGGGCTGAAAATTATATCTATGAAAAAACTGATAACATTTTGCAATATGTCAAAGACAGACCAACATTTTTTGCCTGAGTGTCCCACTAATCTTTATCTAGAGCTATTATTCTTGGACTTTCTACAAGTTTTCTTTCAAATAATTTATGAATTGTAACAACTGGAAAGAATACTGTGAGGATCTGAACACTTCAATCAAACACTGAAGGCAACAACCTTCCTCTTTAAAAAGCCATCTCTCCTGCCTGAATTTTTATCTACTGAAATAACCTCACTCCTTCATTTCTGCAGGAGTAACCAGAAGAAGGTAGCATTTCTTGGCCATCCCAAGTCCCAGGTCAAAACTTCTCTATTCTTCAATGTTCTAACAAAGGCTTCGGGCCCTGCAGCTCATTCCTGTGTGATTCAATCTTGTTCTCAATGAGAGAGATCTCTAGCACAGGTAAGAGTAGCTGAAAGGCGTCCTGGATGTAGGAGGCACTGTTTGATGCCTGCCAGGATTGAAAAAACAAAAAAAAAGAAAATATTAGTTATTTAAAAGGGAAGATACACTGTAAGACAAGAAGGGAACAGATTGATTTTTGTAATCTAATTAAATTCATAGCCTGGCAAATAAGAACAGTGAGTTGGCCATTTTGGTAAACTCTATTATAAGGGAAAGAATCTAGCTCTTAAGATGATATGAGCACCAAAAAAGAATGTCAGCATTTTTGTCCAACTTGCCCATCAGAAATGGTAGCTGTTCTTTGGCAACTTGCTCAGACTTGACATTCAAAGCTTATTTATTCCTTTACTAAGTGGGGTACACTCTGTCACAATGTTGTGGTCAATTACTGAAAAGAGGCTTTCAGAAGGCTATAAATTCCACACCTACGAAATTTCTAGTCCACTGTGATAGCTCTTCTCCCATGGACTCAATGCAGTTAGTGAGCATAATAAGTGCTCACTAACATAAACAAAGAATACTGCTTTCAAAGATTACAGTATAGGTACATTTCTATCTTGAACAACATTTTCCAGAAGTTGCTAAAGAAGCATTACCCTGCTGGACTTCATATACACTGAAAAGCCCTCACCTTTCAAAAGACTATCAACAGAAAGTTCATTACATTAAGATAAAATGTATAATTTCAAGGACAAGAGTGTTTCAAATCTGTATGCAAAAAAAATAAAATAAATAAAAAAAATAACAGGGAACCCGGATCAAGTGAGATTACCTTTTTAAAATTTATCAATGGCAAGTACTCCTATTTAAAATTCAGTGTGACATTGAATACTACATTTCCCAGCCAAAAGAGATCCCACATATCATCTAGTTCAATCTCTCATGTTGCAGATAAAATAATGAGTTTGTCAAGAAGGTAAATGCCTAGCCAGAGTCACACAACAAGTCAAGAAAGATCCACGGCAACACTGGCTCCTGGTTTACAAAGTCCTTTCTACTGCACCACTCTACTATTTACTAAATAACAAACTTATATTTTTTTAAATCATTTAAACGATCAAAATGGTTTCCCTGACTATTCAATTACAACTATGTAATAAAAGAATTAAAATCATTCCTTGATAGTAACGTTAAAAGAATTTAAAACTAGAGAAGTAACAGTCTGGAATTTAAAACATTTTTTCAATTAATATCTAAAACTTAACTATCAAATATATATTCTCCCCCAAGACTTACATAAACATGTTTTAAACAAATCATCAAAAAGTCTTGTTTGCATAGTTAATTTACAAAGCATAGTTCTTAAAACATGGAATCCAGAAAGCATCACATAGGGAAGTAATATCAGAAACAGGATCCTCTTTTCCATTGACTTAAACCATCTACCTTCTCAAATCTAATGGAATGATGAGGATAATGTAAACATTGCCTTTCTGACAAAACAAAGCATGATTTCCTGGCAAGGAAATGACAAAACGTTTTGTTTTTTAACAAACCTCTGCATAAACTTTAGTCCTTTAGGAAACAGTGCTTATCTGTTTATAATTTTCAGCCCTTCATGTTTACCAGCTGGTATCCAGAAGGTGTTTCATCACTGTGAACTGTTCATTAAGCTGTTAAGGAGTAGTACTAAGTAATGGCAATCTACTGCTTCTTCCACTCTACTTTATCCTGCAGCCTGTATGCTTTGTAATTAAGAAGGAAGAAATACACATCAAATATACATTATTTTGATCATATTGCATCAATATGGCTAGACTACCAATATGGTGAAAAAAACTAAAAAGCCAAAAACAAAAGGCTTCAGAAGAGTTAATTAATACATAATACCTTTGGAGTCAGAGACTTAAAAACAATTACTACTAACCTCTAGAAATACAGCAGTGATTAATGGGTTAAGGACATCTGCCACTTCATTGACCTGGAATAAAGAATACAATTTTAAGTGAGCAGAGCAGGTTAAACAATAGTAAGTGGAGTACGATCACACTTTAAAACACACACACACCTATACATAAATATTAAATATAAGCACAGAAGTCTGGACTGAGAGCAAAACGTCATCTTTAGAAAGTGAAATTATAAGTATTTTAAACTTCCTTCTTAGTATCTTTCTGTGCCATCCATATTGAGAGTGTATTGCTTTATTCCTTTTTATTGACTTAAAAAAGTATCTTCATTTGACCACAAAACCTTAGAACCATTTTAAAACAAAATATGTAGACATGGAACGTGTGCTCAAAAAACTCAAGAGTCTTTAACACAGGTTGTTTAGAAACGTCTTATTTCATAGAAATAAATAATGTAAATTTAATACTTGTATGTGTCAGTATCTTAGAGTTGATAAGCTGGCTTAAAGTATCTTTACGGAACACACAGAAAGATTTAGCTTCATAAGATTAACTTCAGGAAACCCAGCTCCTCTTTTTTTTTTGAGACAGTTTCTCTCTTGTTGCTCAGGCTGGAGTGCAATGGTGCGATCTCGGCTCACCACAACCTCTGCCTCCCAGGTTCAAACGATTCTCCTGCCTGGGCCTCTCAAGTAGCAGGGGTTACAGGCATGGGCCACCACTCCCAACTAATTTTATATTTTTAGTAAAGACGGGGTTTCCCCATGTTGGTCAGGCTGGTCTTAAACTCCCAACCTCAGGTGATCCACCTGTCTTGGCCTCCCAAATTGCTGGGATTACAGGCATGAGTCACTGTGCCCAGCCACAGCTCCTCTTTTGAAGAAAATACTACAGGGAAAAGTGAAGCTATACTAAAAGATCATCCTTAATAGGAATAATCTAAACTCAAATTTTAAAAAATTAACTTAGGCCATGGTCTTAATTAAAACAAATGTAATGCTCATGACTAGGACAAATAAATAAATAAAATTTTTAAAAACCCACAGTAATTTTGCTGCTACACTGACACTGATATACTTACTATAAAGTGATTTTCATTTGCTTATTTAAAATGCCCTTGATTTTATTCTAACTCATTATTACTGGTTTCTCAATCATCTCCCATAGTTTACACATCTTCATAAGTCTTTTTACAATTCCAATTTTTAAAATCCCAAAAAGCCTTTAGCTTCAACTATATCTCTCCCACTGGCTGGCAACGGCTGGCAACTGCATACTGTGGGCACTGCCATAGTCTAAGTACAGAGTTGTTCTTTAAAACCAGAGTCAAAATCTGAAGTTTTAATTTCATCAAGGTCTATATTTCCATTTTAAGTCTCAGAAGACAGCATAAAAAATACTGAAAACTTCATAAATAGATGAGAACAAAAATTAGAATTAGACAAGCTGATCCTAAAATTCATATAGAAAGGCACAAGGCCCTAAGCAGTCAAAACATTGTGAAAATAAGAACGAAGTTGGAGGACTCACACTTCTTGATTCCCAACCTACTACAAAACTACAATAATCAATATGGTAAACATACATTAGGATAAACATACAGATTAATGGACTAAAGGATAAACAAATTAATGGACTAAAGATTAATGGACATTAGGATAAACATACAGAGTAATCGTCTAAAAATGAGAGTCCAGAAATGAACCCATAGCCAACTGATTTTCAACAAAGGAGCCAAGACAATTTAATCGAGAAAAATAGTCTTTTCAACAAATGATACTGGAACATATGAATATCCCCTACCTTACACCATATATAAAAATTAACTCAAAATGGATCACAGACATAAAAATAAGAGCTACAACAAAACTTTTAGAAGAAAACAGAGGAGTAAAACTTCACTGCAAAGACATGATCAAAAAAGTGAAATCGTAACTCACAGACTTGGAGAAAATACATTCCCATCAAAAATCAGGTAAGAGGCCGGGCGCGGTGGCTCAAGCCTGTAATCCCAACACTTTGGGAGGCCGAGGCGGGTGGATCACAAGGTCGAGAGATCGAGACCATCCTGGTCATCCTGGTGAAACCCCGTCTCTACTAAAAATACAAAAAAATTAGCTGGGCATCGTGGTGTGTGCCTGTAATCCCAGCTATTCAGGAGGCTGAGGCAGGAGAATTGCCTGATCCCAGGAGGCGGAGGTTGCGGTGAGCCGAGATCGCGCCATTGCACTCCAGCCTGGGTAACAAGAGCGAAACTCCGTCTCAAAAAAAAAAAAAAAAAAATCAGGTAAGAAACTTGCATTGGAAAAATATTTTTAAAAAGCCTCCTACAAGTAATAATAAAAACACAAACAACCCAAGTTTTAAAATAAGCAAAGTGTTGAAACAGGTATTTCTCCAGAGAAGCCAAACAAACAGCCAACAAGCACATTAAAAGGTGTTCAACACTGGCTGGGAGCGGTGGCTCACACCTGTAATCCCAGCACTTCGGGAGGCCAAGGTGGGTGGATCACCTGAGGTCAGGAGTTTGAGACCAGCTTGGCCAACATGGTGAAACCTTGTCTCTACTAAAAATACGAAAGTGAGCTGGGCATGGTGGCAGGTGCCTGTAATCCCAGCTACTCAGGAGGTGGAGGCAGGAGAATCCGTTGAACCCAGGAGGTAGAGGTTGGAGTGAATCAAGATCGTGCCATTGCACTCCAGCCTGGGTGACAAGAGAGAAACTCCATCTCAAGAAAAAAAAAAAAAACAAAAAGAAAACAAAAAACATTCAACATCTTTAGCCATTAGAGAAATGTAAATCGAAGCCACAATGAAATATCATTTCATACCCACTAGGATGGCTCAAATAAAAACAAGCAATAACAAGTATTAGCAAGCATATGGAGAAACTGAAACCCTCACACATTGCTGTGAGAATGTATAATTGTGCAGCCCCTCTGGAAAACAGTTTGGTAATTCCTTAATGACCAGTATCACCCATATGACCCAGCAATTCCACTCCTAGCTATCTACAGACCCAAGGAAATGGAAACCTATTCAAACAAAACCATACATGCATGTTCACAGCAACATTATTCATTATAGCCAAAAAGCAGCAATAATCCACATGTCTATAACTAATGAACAAATAAAATGTGATATATATCCATAAGACAGATTATTATTTGGTAATAAAAAGGAAGTATTAATACATGCTACAATGTGGATAAGCCTCAAAAACACTATGCTAAGTTTGTTAAGCCTCAAAAACACTATGCTAAGTTTGATAAGCCTCAAAAACACTATGAATCCAAACACAAAATACCACATACTGTATAATCCTGTTTATGTGAAAGATGCAGAACAGCCAAACCTACAGAGAGAGAAAGCAGACTCATGGTGCTTAAGACAGGGGAAGTGTGGAAAGAAAGGGAATGGGGATTGTATGAGTTTTGGGAAAGTCTGATGAAAATGTTTTAAAATTAGAATATGGAAATAGCTGCATAACTCAGTAAATATAAAAACTTAAATATAAAACTTAAAACTATTTAATTGTACACTTAAAGTGAGCAAATTTTATGATAATTAAACTGCTAAAGAAGCCAAACAAACAGTCCAATAAGACACATGAATTCTTACCCCAGCAGTTGTTAGGCAGGTGGTAAACTGTTTAGACAGAGAGGACAACTCTTTACACAACACAACTGTCATCCTAGGAAAGAAAGGAAAAGTCAGAAAAGTTTTTCTTTTCTTTTTTTTTTTTTAAGACGGAGTTTCACTCTTGTTACCCAGGCTGGAGTGCAATGGCGCAATCTCCGCTCACCGCAACCTCCGCCTCCTGGGTTCAGGCAATTCTCCTGCCTCAGCCTCCTGAGTAGCTGGGATTACAGGCACGTGCCACCATACCCAGCTAATTTTTTGTATTTTTGGTAGAGATGGGGTTTCACCATGTTGACCAGGATGGTCTCGATCTCTTGACCTCATGATCCACCCGCCTCGGCCTCCCAAAGTGCTGGGATTACAGGCTTGAGCCACCACGCCCGGCCTCTTTTCTTTTTTTTTTTTTTTTAAAAGAAGCTATATTTAACAACGTTCAGACTAGAACAAATCACTCCTTGTATTAAATGTGAAAGAAGAAAGCTTTTCAAGGGAGTAAATACAGTAGCCCCCTTTATGGTTCACTTTCTGCAGTTTCAGTTACCCATGGTCAACAATTATCTGAAAATAATAAATTAAAAATTCCACAAATAAATACTTCATAAGTTTTTAATTGCACATCATTTTGAGTAGCATGATGAAATCTCTCATTGTCCTACTCCATCCCACCCAGGACATAAATCATCCCTTTGTCCAGCATATTCACAGTACCCACTCATTAGTCAGCTATTAATATTAACCATCTTGTTATTAGACTGACTATTGTGTTATCATAGTGTTTATGTTCAAGTAACACTTATTTTACTTAATAACGGCCCCTGCTATGGTTTTGATATATCCCCTCCAAACTCATGTTGAAATTTGATTCCCAATATGCCAGTGTTAGGAGGTAGAACCAAGTGGGAGGTATTTGAATCATGGGGGCACTGCCCTCACAAACAGATTAATGCAGTATCACAGTAGTCAGTGAGATCTCACTCTGGTGGGAATAAGTTAGGTCCTAGAGAGCACGTTTTTATAAAGGAAGTTCAGTCTTTCGAGCAGGCCTCTTTGCACACACCCACTCGTCTTTCTGCTTCTTTACCATGTTGTGGAGCAGTACATGGCTCTCACCAGAAGTCAAGCAGATGCCAGTGCTATGCTCTGGGACTTTCCAGCCACCAGAATTGTAAGCCAAATAAACCTCTTTTCTTTGTAAATTACCCAACCTGAGATATTCTGTTACAGTAACACTAAATGGGCTAAGGCAGCCCCAAAGCCCAAGAGTAGTGATGCTGGCAATTCAGATATGCCAAAGAGACGCCATAAAGTGCTTCCTTGAAGTGAAAAGGTGAAAGATCTTGACTTAATTAAAAAAAAAAAATCATATGCTGTGGCAGCTAAGATCTACAATAAGAATGAATCTTCCATCCATAAAACTGTGAGAAGAAAGAAATCATGCTTGTTATGCTGTTGCAACACTAACTGCAAAAGTTATAGTCACAGTGTGTGATATGTACTGAGTAAGATGAAAAAACCAAACTACTCATCGGACAGAGGATCAACATCCAGAATACAAAGGAACTCAACTCAACAGTAAAAGAAAAAAAAATCATTAAAAAGTGGGAAAAGGACATGAATAGATATTTGTCAAAAGAACAAATGACCAACAGATACATGAAAAAATGCTCAACATCACTGATGCATCAATCATCAGGGAAATGCGAATCAGGACCACAGTGAGTTATCCTCTCACCCTGGTTAGAATGGCTATCATTATTAAAAAGATAAAAAGTGGCTGGGCATGATGGCTCATTCCTATAATCCCAGAACTTTGGGAGGTCAAGACAGCTGGATCACTTGAGATCAGGAGTTTGAGACCAGCCTGGACAACATTGTGAAACCCTGCCTCTACCAAAATATAAAAATTAGCTGGGCATGGTGGCACACACTTGTAATCACAGTTACTTAAGAGGCTGAGGCAGGAGAATCACTTGAACCTGGGAGGCAGAGGTTGTTGTGAGCCAAGATTGCACCACTGCACTTCAACCTGAGTGACACAGTGAGACTCCATCTAATAGATGCTGGCAGCAATTCCAAGTAAAGAGAACACTTATACATTGTTAGAATGTGAATTAGTAAAACCACTATGAAAAAGAGTATGAAGATTTCTCAAAAAATAAAAATGGAGCTACCAAACTACTGGATATTTAGCCAAAGGAAAAGAAAGAAATATATCAAAGGGATACCTGCACCTGTATGTTTATTTCAGCACTATTCACAATAGCAAAGATATGGAATTAATATAAGTGTCCACCAGTTGACAAATGGATAAGGAAAATGTGATATACATATAAATATAGATATAAATATAAATATAAATAAATATATATTTATATATATTTTGCAGGTCATTAGGTTAAGTGAAATAAGCCAAGCACCGAAAGACAAACACCTCATGTTCTCACTCAAATGTGGGAGCTATAAAAAAAACATGATCTTATGGAAATAGAGAATAAAACAATTGTAATACCAGAAATGGGGAACAGTGGATGGGTGAGTAGGTGGGGATGAAGGTAAGTTGGTTAACGGGTACAAACGTATAGTTAGAAAGAAAAAATAAACTCTAATGTTTGATAGCAGAATAGGATGACTATATTTAGCGTTAATATTTTGTACATTTCAAAGTAATTTAGAGAGAGGACTTGAAATGATACCAACATACAGACATGATAAATACTAAAGGTGATGAAAACCTTAAATACTCTGATTTGATCATTAAACATTCTATGCATGTAACACTCACATGTATCCCATATATATTTATATAATATTATATATCAATAAAAAAAATTTTTTTTAAGATGGAAAAGGCATTAAATTTGTCAATGGAAGACATGAATGGAATGTGTTCCAAATGATGGCAATCAAGTTTGGAACTATCCACAGTTTCAGGAATCCACTAGGGGCTTTGAACATAACCTATACAGATAAGGGGGTATACTACTGTATGCCTAAATCAGCCACCTGATATATAAGAAGACCCATCTAAGCAGGCACTCATGCTATATAAAAAGGGAGTTCAGTCCTTAGAAAAACATTTCTCTGTAAAATCCTCTAGAGAGCAGTATATGTTCAAGTTAAATCAAATAGAAAATAATGAAAATGCATTTTAGAAGACAACATCATACTTAAAACACCCTACATTCCATTTAGAAAAGTTAAAATATGTATTAATTAATTCTAAAAACCTCAGTTCTTAATAATAGTTATTAGTTACTGAGTGCTAATTATATGCCAGACACCATGCTAAGGGATTTACATGTCTCATTTCTAATTTTTACAACAATTCCGAAGGTAAGTCATTAGTCCATCTTTAATCATATTTACCTAAAGTCTTCTATGTGCCAGACTTTATTTACTTAAAGTCTTTCAAGCAATGGGGATGTATCAGTGAACAAGTCCCAGTTTTCATGGATTCCAACTTACTTGCTAAATTAAGGGAGAGACTATATACATATACATATATACACATATAAATGTATACATATGCACACATATATATTAATATATGTGCTATGTGGTGATATAAGCTAAGAAAATAAAGCATGGTAAAAGGACAGAGAATGGTGGGAAATGCTACTTTAGACTTTGTGGTGAAGGAAGGCTTTTCTTAAAAGGTGGCATTTGAGTAGACATGAATTCAGAGAGCGAGTGAACCACATTTCAAAGAATATTCCAAGTAGCAGATTTAGCTACTTTTCCATAGAACAGGCTCCTTTAGGGCTGTGAGTCTCTCAACCTTAAGGATGTTCAAGAAGACAAATGAGCCCCCTATTATGGGATGCTGTAGTGGGATGCTGATGATGCAAGTAAAGAGGAAGTCTGCAAAAGACTGACAGCCCCTCCCAGTTCTAACAATAGGCACTCTCATACATTTTTTTTTTTTCCAGTGAAAATTCTCATTATTTCAACCAGGAGATTTATTTAGAAACTACTGGTCTTTTTTCTTCCCCACCTATGATTATCTATAATCTACTATTTTTAAAAATTTTTGTACAAACCAGCAATACAATGAGAAAAAAAGAATGGGTTAAGGACACTCAGACCTGGATCTAAATCCTAGGCCATATAACACAGATTACTTAACTCCTCTAGTTTGCATTTCCTCATGATGAAAACAGGACTAGTCACTTACTTTTGGAGTTACAAAAATTAGAAATGATACCTGTAAATCCCTTAGCATGGCTCCTGGCATATAATTAGCACTCAATAGGAACTATTATTGAGAAATGAGGTTCTTAGAACTCTTCCCTGTTTTCACTTACACCAAATTACATTCCTATTAAAACTAATAATCTGTAAAGAAATAGTTTTCAGAGCATAAGCTGGTTAATTGAAAAAAAGGCAGATTTATAATGTTGATTTATTATGGTTCAATGAAAAGAAAAAAACAACCAAAATGAACAAACCGTCGAATATGTGGATGGGCGTCATATGAATGGTTTCTTGAGAGAGATATTTATAAAACTTTGGAAATAGGCCAAGAAAACTCCAGCAATTTGCATCATTTAGAGAAATTCTCATTATACTTACTGGGAAAGAGTTTGGCTCCTTTCTATGGCTGTCACTTCCTGCTTCCTTCCATGCAGAACCAATGCAGCTGTTTTGTGAAATAGTTCAATTGAGCAGGCAGTAAGTTCAGCTAGGCTCCGGATTGCAAACGCATGGATATCCTGGATGGAAAAACAAAACAAAGCATAGCAAAACAAAACATTTCCAGGTGGATATGATACCACTTTACATCTCTCATACTGCAGGATTTGTAGCAGAGACTAATAGTTGACTTCCAATAAATAGTCTCTTCTTCTTCCACAGTAGTGATGTAATTTTACAGCTGGGCTCATAGCTACAAAAACAAAGGCTCCCCTGAAGTCAGGTGTGACCAAGTAACTAAGTTTTGGCCAAATGATTTAGATGAAAAGTGTCAGGTGGCAGTTTCTGGGAACCTTACTCATGACAAAACACACATGCATCCTTTCTCTTTTTTTTCTTCATTCCTCCTTTAATCTTATAGTCTGGATCTAAGATGCTACAATCCTAGATCACAAGGTTGAAATTACAGATAGCAGTGTAAAAAAACAGGAACCTGGGTCCTTGGTTGTGATATATCTCAAATCTACTAAAACAAAAAAAGTCTTAGTTGTTTTGGCTACCTCTATTGAATTTCTGTTGACTTGCTCAGCGTTTTCTGCTTCCAACTGTTTTTCTCCTTCTTCATTCTCTGCTAATGGCTTGGTCAGAGACATCCTGATCCATTCGTGGGCAGTATTTCTTGCCTAAATAAGAAAAACATTGTCCATCAACAATTCAATTCAGTTCACCAAATTTACTGTGCACCTACCAAGAACACAATAGCAACTTAGAAGTCAGGGCTCTTGTTTTTACCTCAACATACCATCTAACTTTTCAGTCTTTATATCCTACTGGATTCAACAACACTTAATCATTGCTGTCCATCATTCCTTTTTGAAATTCTCTAATCAGTTATTTTTTTGTTTTGTTTTGTTTTGTTTTTAAGACAGAGTTGCATTCTTGTTGCCCAGGCTGGAATGCAATGGTGCAATCTCGGCTCACTGCAACCTGCGCCTTCTGGGTCCAAGCAATTCTCCTGCCTCAGCCTCCCAAGTAGCTGGTATTACAGGCACCTGCCACCTCACGAGGCTAATTTTTGTATTTTTAGTAGAGATAGGGTCTCGCCATGTGGGCCAGGCTGGTCTCAAACTACTGACCTCAGATGATCTACTCACCTTGGCCTCCCAAAGTGCTGGGATTATAGGCGTGAACCACTGCACCTGGCCTCAAATCAGCTTTTTTTTTTTTTTTTAAAAAATGTATAATTTACATAAAGTGCACAAATCTTCAGGTTATGGCTTAAGAAATGTTTATAAGTGTATATGCCTGTGAAACTGTGATCAAGATATAGAACATTTCCTCATCCCTAGAAGGGTCCCCTCATGTCCCTTGCTGGCCCAAACTGTTCAAAACACAACCCCCTTCTTCTGCCCAAAGACAACTACTCTTCTGCTCACTTTAAATTAATATTGCCTGATCTTAAAATGCATGAAAATAAAAATATAAGTTCATTCTAGTTTGTGTCTGGCTTCTTAAGTACAACATAATGTCTGTTAGATTTATCCACATTGTTGAATGTATTAGTTCATTCATATTATTAACTGCTGTGTAGTACTTCATTTTATATACAGTCATATACCACATGATGATGCTTAACAACAGACCACATATACAATGGTGGTCCTGTGAGATTAATACCATATTTGTACTGTATCTTTTCTATACCATTGTGTTGCAATCATCTAAAGTATTCAGTACCATAACATGCTGTACAGTTTTGTATAGGAGCAATATGTTATACGATACAGCCTAGGTGTGTAATAGGCTACAACAACTAGGTTTGTGTAAGTACACTCTCTGAAATTCGCCCAATGACAAAACTACCTAATGATGCAGTTCTCATAACATATATATCCTCATCATTAAGCAATGCATGATTGTATATATGAGAATTTATCCATTCTCCTGATAATGAATCTTTGGGTTGTTTCTTTGGTTTTCTTTGTTTTTTGTGACCCGACTTTCTTCTGTTCTCATTCCTCCTCAGTCTCTCTTATATATTGCTCCTACTTGCCCAGTCTCTTAAACACCAATATTATTTGCAGTTCTAGCCTTCACACTCTACTTGTCTCATCCTATTCCCTCTCCACCTATCCTACGCCAGTGGTTTTAACTATCCTCAACCTGCTGTTGACTCTTAGATCCTTATTTCTATCCCTGACCTCTGCTGAAAACTTGTTCGAAATGCCTGCTAGACAAAATACTCTGCAGGCATCACACATACAGTAAGTAAAAACTTTGAACTCATTATCTTTCTCTTCCTACCCCCAAATTTTGCATCCTCTTTTATTTCCCAAAGTTTTAGAGGTGCTACCATATACCAGTCACCTGAGCCAAAATATAGGGGCCATCTTAGATTTTTTTGCTCTCCAACCAATCACCAAGATGGTCTGATTTTATCCAAGCCCCTCTTCATCCTTTTCCTTCCCATCTTCTTCCTCCCTATTATCACTACTTGAGTTCAGATCTACTTCATGACTGGTCTCCCTGCCTCTGATCTGTTTATCTTAAATCTATCTTCCATAATGTTACCAGTGATCTGTCTTAAGCCCAGGGCTGACCATTCCTCTTTCCTTCAATTGCTCCTCATCAGCTAAATCATGCTCTTTTTTTTTTTTTTATTGCATTTTAGGTTTTGGGGTACATGTGATGAACATGCAAGATTGTTGCATAGGTACACACATGGCAGTGTGCTTTGCTGCCTTCCGTCCCCTCACCTGTATCTGTCATTTCTCCCCATGCTATCTCTTCCCACCTCCCCACCCCCCGCCCCTCCCCCATTTCCCCCCAACAGACCCCAGTGTGTAGTGCTCCCCTCCCTGTGTCCATGTGTTCTCATTGTTTAACACCCGCCTATGAGCGAGAATATACGGTGTTTGATTTTCTGCTCTTGTGTCAGTTTGCTGAGAATGATGGTTTCCAGGTTCATCCATGTCCCTATAAAGGACGTGAACTCATCGTTTTTGATGGCTGCATAATATTCCATGGTGTATATGTACCACATTTTCCCTATCCAGTCTATCATCGTTGGGCATTTGGGTTGGTTCCAGGTCTTTGCTATTGTAAACAGTGCTGCAACGAACATTCGTGTGCACGTGTCCTTGTAGTAGAATGATTTATACTCCTTTGGATATATACCCAGTAATGGGATTGCTGGGTCAAATGGGATTTCTATTTTTAGGTCCTTGAGGAATCGCCACACTGTCTTCCACAATGGTTGAATTAATTTACATTCCCACCAACAGTGTAAAAGTGTTCCTATTTCTCCACATCCTCTCCAGCATCTGTTGTTTCCCGTAAATCATGCTCTTTACATGATGTAACAGGTCTCCATGACCTAGACCCTACCCACTTTTCCAGCCTTATCTTTTTTTTTTTTTTTTTTTTTTTTTAAGTACAACCTTATCTCTTACCAATTTCCACTTTATGTTCTGGTAAGAATGACCTCTACTGTACTTGTTCTTTCAATCCTCCACCCAGACATCATCTCTTCCAGGTAACTTACATTTAGTACTTAAGATATACTAGAATTATCTGTTTCCTAACTAAACTATGTATTATAGGATACAATGTGTTTTATTTGGCTTTGCACATCCACACCCAGTGTCCAGCACACTGTGAAGAACATCTACTGTTCTGGATATGGATATGACCAGTATCCTTTTCTCCTTTCTTTTGGTAGCAGGTTCTAGATTCTCCTTAGTCCATGTGATCTGGGTGGAGCTGCCTCCATCTTTTGGCTCCAAAAGCTGGCAAACCATTCAGAAGTAGCTACTGCGAATATTAATACCCCTGTCCACAGAGTGAGTGGTTCACAGATTAAAAAGTAACCCATGACAGATCAATGGACATCAGTCCCAGGACATCTGGTAAAACGAGCAGCAAAAAGTGTTCTTTCCGCTGGAGTTACTCAAATAGAAAAAAGTCACCCACCCTGAAGCTGTCAATGGTCTTTTTACCACCATATGGAAAAGTTTTCCTAAGAATGAAGCCAAAATAAAAGGAAGCAGGCCAAAAGACACAGATAGGAATAGAGATAGGTTCCTGAATACAGCCATGCCGGAAGCCAGTTCTACTCCTGAATTTTCTATTTTCTTAAGCTACTGAATTTCCCTCTTTAAAACTAGTTTCTGTTATTGTTAAGTTTCATGAGTTTCGGTTATTCACAAGTGAGGGTGTCCTGGTTTCTCAGGAACTGTTTATTACCATCCACTTTATTAACTTTACATATACAGAATGTGTTCAAAGCTGTCATGAGGTAATAGGAATCCAGAGAAGACCTTGAGAGTCATTCTAACTGGGAGAAACACAGATTTTATTATAAATACAGCATTGGAGGTAGGCCTTGAAGGATCAGTAAGTGGGACTACGCCCAAGGCTACCTGAATGAGCTAAAGCCAGATTTGTGTTCCCAAAACATTCAGGAACAATCTAGCTCTGATCTATACCTTCCCATTACTTAAGCATTAACCTCTCAAGGAACAATCTAGCTCTGTTCTATACCTTCGTATTACTTAAGAATTAACCTGTCAAATTCAAAACATCAAACACCATGACCTATATAAAGGCTTGGAAACAGAAAAATGCAAAGTATGTAGGTAAACTGTGAGATATCTAGCAAGATTATCATATAAGAAACAGGCATGTTATTCATTCATTTATTGCAAATATATACCAACACTGTGCCAGTGCTGGGGATTCAGTGGTGAATAATACAAACTAGGAGCCTGTTCTTCTCTCTCCTAATGAGGCAACTAGCAGAAAACAAACAAATACATAAAGAAAATAAAATGGGGTAATGGTGAGTATGGGTAGAGCTTGAGTTTGGGTAGTCAGGAAGGGTGCCAGAAAAGTTATGTTTCAGCTGAAATCTGAAGGAGTTGGCCATGCAAATATTTAGGCAAACAGAGTTGTACGCACAAGGAAATCAGCTTTGTATACCGGAGAAACAAAACAAAGGCCAGTATGGAAGAATATAGAGGATCGCGAAGTGTGACAGAAAATAAGGTTAGAGTAGCGAGATTTATAGAAGAGAACAGTGACAGATGAGGCTGGAAAAAATCCTAACAGTTGACTAATAATACAAACAGTATGTTAAACTCTTTTCAATATCTCTGAGTAGACAAAATGAGTGAAAAATGAAGGATTAATTTATGTGAGATTTAAAAAGAAAGAAAAATGGAGAGTTGATAGACCACATAAAAGAAAAAAAACTGATACCATAAATTTAATATACCTGAGATTTTTGTTTGTTTGTTTTTGAGGATTCTCACTCTGTCACCCAGGCTGGAGTGCAGTGGCATCATCTCGGCTCACTGCAACCTCTGTTGCCCAAATTCAAGCCATTCTCCTGCCTCGGCATTGCGAGTAGCTGACACTACAGGTGCCTGCCACCACGCCCAGCTAATTTTTGCAGTTTTAGTAGAGATGGGGTTTCACCACCTTGGCCAGGCTGGTCTTGAACTTCTGACCTCATGATCCACCCACCTTGGCCTCCCAAAGTGCTGGGATTACAGGTGTGAGCTACCATACGCAGCCAGGAGATATTTTAGTAGGCACAGAATACCCAAAGTGACCTCTCTTGTAATAAATGTATTAAGTGAAATCATCATGAAGCATTGTGCCAACTCAAGGTAATTTACTATCCTTTTCCAAAATTGTTAATGTAATTCACTCTCACAATTCAGTCTGGTACTACCCACTGTTAAGATCTGCAGACTTCAAAAGGCACCTTTGAACTTAGCTTCTCCAACCACTTATTTATCTCCAGCAGAAAAATAATGATGCCTAGAGAAGTAAATAAATTTGTCCAACATCACACCACATATGAGTATATCAGAATAAGAACCAGAATCATAGAATTATATTCCCAGACTCTTAATTCAGTGTTCTTTTCCCTACATCACAGCCTGACATATAAATATCTGAGGACCAATGGCTAAGGCCTTGATCCTTAACCAATCTACATCTTAAATCTCAATGTCTAAAATTTAAACAATCTGAAGACTGCTTTCAGAAAATGGCTAGAACTGCCAGATGGATAAGGAGTTACTGGTCTTACACAAATATATATTAATATGATCTCTCCTTAAGCATGTAAACTATGTCTTTTTCAAGATTATTTCCCTAGCACCTGGCAAATCACTCAGCATAATAAAGGTTTACTGAACATATATGCATATTTATTGAACAACTGCAAGTAGAGGACATTGGGCTACCTTCTGTGGAGCCATCAACAGTGAGCATTTTACTATGGAATCAAAGCCATGCCAGTGGCAAATCAAACAATTTTTTGCAGGTTTCTTTTATAGTACAAGTTAACCATTCCTAATCTGAAAATCCAAAATTCTCTAAAACCTGAAATTTTTTGAGTGCCAACATGATGCCACAAGTCGAAAATTCCACACCCTGACCTCATGCAACAGGTTGCCATCAAAATGAATTCAAAATTTTATTTCATACACAAAATTTGTAAGAGCTTTTTGTGTGTGAACACATTTAAACCACACAGGAACTGTACATTATTACCACCCATCAAACAGATAGAAAAAATGAGGCTCACAGAGGTCAAGCAACTTGCTAAAGGTCATACAGAAAGTAACAGGTAGAAGAGATGGAATTTTAAGAAATAGATATGTATAGATCCTGGCTCCGAGAAATTTAAGCTTTAGGACAGGAGGTAAGATACACATTTTTTTTTAAACTACGATAAATGTATAAAAATACATTATGTACAAGGCTAGTGAAAAAAGCAGAGTGCAAATAGTATGTTAACTTTTGCATCAGAAGAGGTAAGAAAATATATCTGCTTATCTTTACAAAAAGAAACTTAGGAAGAATAAGCCAGAAATAGGAAAGATGAGTATCTACAAAAAGAGGAGAATGGAGTGGAAGGAAGTGGGAGGGAGAGACACCTGAGGATATGTTTTTGTGCAGTTTGATATTTGGAAGCATGTTAATTAATACTCTACATGTTCAAAAATAAAATTAACACATGGGGCAGCAAATAAAACAATTTTTTCTGTTTCTTTTATAGTACAAGTTAACCATCCCTAATCTGAAAATCCAAAATTCTTCAAAATCTGAAATTTTTTGAGTGCCAACATGATGCCACAAGTGGAAAATTCTACACCCTGACCTCATGCAACAGGTTGCAGTCAAAAGGAATTCAAAATTTTGTTTCATGCACAAAATTTTTTTAAATATTGTGTAAAATTATCTTCAGGCTATATGTATAAGGTATATATGAATATAAATAAATTCTGTGTTTAAACTTGATTGTATCCTCAAGATATAACATTATATATATACATATGTGTGTGTATATATGTCTGTGTGTGTACATATGTCTGTATATACACACACACACACACACACACAAATATTCCAAAATCCAAAAATAATCTGAAATCTGAAACACTTCTGGTTCAAGGCATTTTGGATAAGGGATACTCAATCTACAGTACAGGCAAAGCAATAAAACTATTTCAGATACATCTCATAATTAAGGAAATGTGTTAATATTGTTGTGAGACAAGGTTCCTACTGTAGAAGGGAGATACAAATGTGTAATGGGGAAAGGCATGGAAAAACCCTGTAGGGATGGATTAAAATTGGAGTTAAACTATGTATGAACTCATGATTTCTAAAATACATATAGGTATACATGTGCACATATTTATGTGTCTACATATGTAAGACATACATGTGCATATGTACCTGAGTATATTTCCTAGCTCTGCTGACAGTCTGTAATCAAAGCCATGCCAGTGGCAATGAGTACACTTAATACCCAGGTCTTGGTCTATAAAACCAAAAAGGAAACATGCTTTCTTAAAGAAATGTCTGCTTGCAGAGCTGGCGCACAGAAGGCATAAGGTGAATCTAGAGTATCTTGTTATGCCAGAAAATAAAGAAGTGTATGAAAATGTTGAAGGCATGCCACCTAGGAGCCAGCTTGAAAGACAAATCTGAATATCAAAATAATTAAGGACAGTGATGAATTACAAGCCAATGGGGAAAAAGCAGAACTCCATGAAAGCATACTGATAACAAATAGAAAAAGAATGAACAAAAATGGGGGAGAAAGGAGAGCTCATGACTACACTAAAATGCTGAAAGCCAATTGGTAAATCTTCACATGAAAATATTGGTGCAAGAATCATAAATAGATGCTAAATGTAGGAGAGAAATTATGATGAGTAGCAGGATACTCATATGGTCTTAAAGTATCTCCTCACAGAAAGTTTATTAGCAACATAGGAAAATAAATTGTAACTCTACAGAAAGAAATCAGATAATACATCACCAATAAGGGGCATATGGATACCATGTACCTTTAGATGTGATACCCTGGCCAGGACACACCATCATTTATGGAGTATTTTGGCCAGTAAATTGACATTAATCATAAGAAAGCATTAGACAAACCAAATGAGGAATGCTCTATTTTTATAAAGGCAGGGGGAGCTTTTTTTTTTTCCCCAAAAACACCAAGGTCAAATGACAAAGGCTGAAGAACTATTCTAGATTAAAGGAAACTAAAAGTACATGACAACTAAATACAATTCATGATCATGTACTGGCTCCAGTGTTAGAGGAAAAAGTTTGATATGAAGGACATCATTGGGTCAATTGATGTAACCGAATAGATTACAACAAATTAGTACAACAAAAGTACTAATGTTAAATTTACTGAAGTTGATAGCTGTGCTGTGGTTATGTAAGTGAATATCCCTATCCTTAGCAGATACATATTGAAACATTTAGAAGAGCGATAATGTTTACAATTTACTCTCAAATGTTTACAAAAATAATATGTGTGTTTATGTGTACACATGTATGTACATACACAGAAAGAACAAATGTGAAAGCACAAATGTTTAAGCAAATGTTTAACAGTATTGGATTTGAATAAAAGGTATACGATGTTGTTTGTGCTACTCTTGTACCTTTTCTCTAAGTTTGATATTATTTCCAAAATAAAAAGCAGTATAATACAAGATCAGAAGTGCTGTTACAGTAGAGATGAGGGAGATGAGCCGCCTGGGGATGATCTACAAGAGCTTTCTCAGAGAATGCAGCATTTTCAATGGGCATAGGAGAGTGGGCTAACACACCAAGCATCATATTCCTTGCCCTGGGGGATAGAGACAAGGTGACGGGATGGACTATACAATAGCTCTCAGCTCTCCCTGGCCAGGAAACAATGTGCACCTGCAGCTGACTGGTCCTGAAATGCTTCTCAAGATTGGTAGAGGTGGGTAAAGAGGCAGCAAGCAGCCCATGACCCAGTGAACAGTGTCCCATGAGCAGGCACCGGCCTGTATGTGCCACAAAACCTCCCTACCCAACTGAGCTTTAATTAAAGTCTCTCCACATTCCAGAAAATACTTCTGAATCAGTACCAAAAATAAAGGCGTTGGTCATAACATTCTCTCATTTCCATATGCCAAACACTCATTATCTAAGTCACTGGGCTCTGGGTAATGACAACCTCTAATCCCTATGGGCAAGGCTACATATCATCTCTAAATCATTCAGACCCCTAAGAACCATGAGACCTCAACAGAGGCTCACTCATTGGAATCATGAGGCTGGTCAGCACCGGCAACTTTTAATGACCAACACTGTAGCCTAAATTAAGCTTTCAGTCAAGGAAGGCATGCCAAATAAAAACAGGTGAAGATAGGACACGTGTTGGGGGCAGATGTGGGTTTAACACACTAACCTGGAGGAACAGAAAACAACTAGTTGCACAATCCAATTCTGGGTATAATGAGAATATACCTTCAATTTTGGTGATACCTCTGCCAGGAATTTACAATCTTATGCTCTTTATCCACTACATTCTTACAAGTAAAATAATGAAAATCACCAAGAAATAATAACTTACCCTGGCAAGTTTCTCTGGTTTGGAGGAAACGTGCAGCTGGGAAAACAGGTCTGTTATCTCCTTGGTAAAATCTTCATCCCCTAAAAAACCAAGTCCCATATAAAACACTCCAGAAAGACTGCTGAGGATCATGAGGAGGCAGGCAAGGAGGAAGAAGAGAGGAGTAGTAATAGCAGTAGCAGTAGTAGTAGTAACCATAATAGCAGCAGTACTGTTTATGAGCATGGTGCTTTACTGCTTATAGAATCCTTTTATGTATATTATATCAATAAATGCTTCAATGGGCTTGAAAGAAAAGTGCCATTATTCCATGTTAGAGATAAAGTGATTAGGGCTTAAAGACATTAAGTGACTTCCTCAAGATTGCATGGCAAAGATTAGTAGTCAAACCTCAGTCTTCCATCTCCCAGTCCAAATCCTGTGTTTTTAGCATTACATACCAGAGCATGAATGTAGAAATGGTAACAGCATAGACTAAGCAAGTAGTCTGGATGTGCTTCCAAGAAAGTGGAATTTAAGTTGGTACATGAATTTGAGTACAAGTTAGACAGGAAAATAGGAAGAGTTTCGGGCAGAGAAACTAATGCAAAGAACCAAAGGTGAAAGAAAGTATGGCAAGAAGTTTAATATGATTGAGAGTATCTCTAATCTAAGGGGGAGAAGTGGTAAGTTAGAAAGATAAGATCCAGACAATAAAGGCCATATAATCAAGTAAAGAATTCAAACTTTGTAATAAGGAAGTGAGGAATCAATGAATGGTTTTAAGCAGAAAAAGAATCAAATTTAAATTTTAGAAAGATCACTTTGGCTGATGGGTGGAGAACTGATTTGAGGGGGGAAAAGAAGGGAGGCAGGCTGAGGCAATAATCCAGGATCCAGGTAAGAGATAATGGTGGATAAGAAGAAAAGAGGTACAATCATTATGCATCTGTAATAATTAAAAATAAAAAGAAGAGAAGGAAAGGGGATTCCAGAATGTTGAAAGGATGGTGAGGAAGCTGTTGGAGTTAGTCTTGTGAAAGATGATGGAGAACAAGGAACACTAATAAAGAAACAAACAAGCAAATGGGTGACTCAAGATCAAAAAACAATTAGCAAACCCAAAGAAACAGTGGAAAATGCTGCCTTTCCTCTCCACTCATCTGAATCCTATCTATTCCCCACTTTGTGTTCTAGCCCAAGGCTTCTCTGCAACTTAGAATGCAAAAGAGAATTCTTGTACACAGAAATTTAGCAATCTACTTACAGTCCATATGAATATTTCTTAATTCATGAGTCTACAGTTTGCCAGGGCAAATCATTACTGCTTCAAACTCAGCATCTTCCCTAATATTCCCAGGAATAAAAAGTGTATCTTGGCTACTATCGCACCATCCACTATCCTTTTGTTCCTCTCTCTTGGTGTTTAAGGCAGAGAATTCAATAATTTAGTGATCTCAGGTATAATAAGGTTTGGGAAAAGCTGATCTCACTACTGATACAACTCTTCCTATATAACTCATCTAAACAACTCCTAAGAACATCCTACTATCTAAAATCTACGTTTAGGTAGACATTTTGTTTTCCCAAATAATTTATAATTTGGATACAAGGGATGAATCTGAATCCATAGTGGGATGCATATACCCAAAGGGGTTCACAAAATAATTCAATGGAGGGCAGGGGAAAACTGTACTTTTTATTTATAGGGATTTATCTCATTCTATTAAAAATTCTATTTTAGGGTATATTTTAGAATGTAAATTATATATTGTTATGGTAGTGCCTGTATATAATTCATAAACATCCAAATACCCATATATTATGTCTGAATGTGAAACACTGCTAACAGTTGTAATAAAAAAAAAATCTGAAGCTTATAGTCATCTGTTCTCTTTAGAACTGAGTAGAAAAAGTAGTTATTGCCTTAGAATAAAAATGTGTAAGGATGGAAAGGAAACAGGGGTAGTGCTTTAGAGGGACTGTGTAGAGTGGCTGGAGTCTTCCAAGCAGGAAGGCTCCTTCTGAAAAAAATGAATCAGGTACATAAGGTAGAGGAGCAAGAACCAAGGATGCTGATGGAAAATGAAGATAACCAACATCACCAGAACCAGGTTGTAGGGTATTCTCTCCCCTCTGCTACCACCACAGTTTTTAAAAACAGCTTCATAGAGATATAATTAACGACTAAGGTCACTGTTGCATTCTCAACCAAAATCCTGGGGAAGGCTGGGGCAGAGTGAGGGGTGGAGGAAATCCAGTGCTATCTTTTCAGGGTTCTGTTTGGTGAACAAGTAGGAGAAAAAAATATCATAGACACAAATCCCTCTGTTTAGAAAACTACTTGGATTTCTCTGAATGTTATTTAAAGACTGGGATTTCTGATGACTATGCAAAGCCAGATGTTGAGTAAATTGAACAAATACTGTTAATGGAACTACATACAAATAACTTAAGTTTATAAATAACGGGATTGTCATGTCAGGGCTTGATTAGGAACAATGGAGCAACTTAAGAAAATCAAAATCAGTATTATCGGTTTTCTGCTAAGTAAGACTTTTAAAATGCATATTTTTACCTATTTACTTATGCCTCCTAATAATGAAAATATGAATAGCTACCATTTGTTGAGTGCTTACTATGTGCCATATATTAAATATAATATTCAACTTAGTCCTTACAATAACTTGAGAGGAATTAGCATAGTCTTCTTACAGATAAGGAAACAGCAGCTCAGCGTTAAGTAACTTCCCAAAGTCACATGGCTTAGTAAATGGCAGATCTTGATTTTGAATCCAAGTCTAATTCTGAAACCCATCCTTTTATTCACCACACTATACTGCCTTCTCAATATCTCAGGACAGCTTTAAAAACTTGTATTCAAGAACCATTTTCCAATCATGACAAGTACTTTTACATAGAATAAGGTGTCATTTAGCAAGATGCTATATAGCCAGCCAGTTTGACTTCTTAGGACACAATGCAGAACACAAATGGAAACAAAAAAGAAAAAGTCTCAAAAGTAGGAGAGATCATGGCAGACAGGAGGCAGGACTAGACTACAGCTCCCACGCGGATGGACAGAGCAGCATGTGGAGGCTCGCACAGTAAACTTTTGCTCCAGAAAGACTGCAGGAATATGTTAGGAAAGCCAAGATAACCCACATGCCCTCTGAAGGAAGTGGATTGCTCTGCAGGACCCGGGAAACATCCCAAATACTGTGAGTCCCCAAATAGTGTGGAAGTGGGAAAGGGAAATCATTCGCCTTGGAACACACACCCCATCGGGGAACCTGAAGGTATAGATTGTGGAAGAAGAATCTCACCTTATTAGGAGCTGAGTCAGTTTAGAGAGCCAAGTGAAATACGAGGGTAGCGGAAGCAGTGGGAAAACCCCTATGGGCTTTCTGGGTACCCTAGCAAGCAATTTCCACCTTGCCTCACAGGGGGCCTTGAGGAGGATGGCCAGAGGCTCTGGGGAAAAAGCCACAGGAAGAAGGAAACCTCCAGTTGAACTCTGTAACAATTTGAACTGATCAAAAAGTTTTCTGGGCTGGGCACGGTTGCTCACACCTGTAATCCCAGCACTTTGGGAGGCCGAGGCAGGCAGATCACAAGGTCAAGAGATTGAGACCATCCTGGCCAACATGGTGAAACCCCGTCTCTACTAAAAATACAAAAAAAATTAGCTGGGCATGACGGCATGCGCCTGTAGTCTCAGCTACTCAGAAGGCTGAGGCAGGAAAATTGCTTGAACCTGGGAGGCGGAGATTGCAGTGGGCAGAGGTCGCACCACTGCACTCCAGCCTGATGCCTGGTAATGGGGTGAGACTCCCGTCTAAAAAAAAAAAAAAAGTCTTCTGGCCAGAATTCAGGGGAGGGCATGAATCCAGTGTGTGGACTCCATGGGCAGGGGAAGAATGAAAGCCTTACTTGCTTTCACAGCTGGGAGGTGGGTAGTCTGGGGCAAGTTCTCAGCCCTTTTCACCCACTGCCTGGAAACAGACTCAGTGTTGCTGAGAGGCAGGCACAGTGGGAGTGAGACTGTTCCTTTGGGTTGCATGGGAGCTGGATAAGGCCTGTGATTGCCAGCTTTCCCCAACTTCTCTGACAACCTGCATGATACAGTGGAGGCAGCCATAATCCTCCTAGGAACATTAACTCCATTGACCTGGGAACCTCATCCCCATCCCCCTTAGCAGCCACAGCAAGACTCACCCAAGGAGAGTTTGAGTTCAGACACACCTAACCCTGCCCTTCCCAACCTGGTGACTGAAGACAAAGAACGTACATTCTTCAGAGTTCTAGGGTCCTGCTCACTGCCAATTTCTCCCCATACTACCCCAACTGATGCTCTCTCGAAAGCTCCACCTCCTGGCAGTAGGCCACCAGCATGAAAACAGTGCATTAAGCAACCAAAGCCAAGGATGCTCACAGAGTCTACTTCATCCCCCTGCCACCTCCACCAGAACAGGTGCTGGTGTTCACAACTGAGAGATCCACACAGAGAGTTCATAGGACTCTGTGCAGACAACCCTCAGTATCAGACTAGAGTCTGGGAGACTTGCTGTGTGGTCAGATTCAGAAGAGAGATACCAATCACTACAACTTGGCTCTTAGGAAGTCACATCCCTAGGAAAAGGGGAAGAGTGCTACGTCAAGGGAACACCCCATGGGACAAATGAATCTGAACAACAGCCTTGAGCCCTAGACCTTCCCTCTGACAGAACCTATCCAAATGAGAAGGAACTAGAAAACCAATCCTGGTAATATGACAAAACAAGGTTCTTTAACACCCCCCAAAATCACACTAGCTCACCAGCAATGAATCCAAACCAAGAAGAAATCCCTGATTTACCTGAGAAAGAATTCAGAAGGTTAGTCATTAAGCTAATCAAGGAGGCACCAGAGAAAGGCAAAGCCCAATTTAAGGAAATTAAAAAAATGATATGAGAAGTAAGGAGAGAAATACTCAATGTAATAAAAACAATCAAAACTTCAGGAAATAATGGACACACTTACAGAAATGCAAAATGCTATATAACGTCTCAGCAATAGAATTGAATAAACAGAAGAAAGAACTTAAGAGCTTAAAGACAAG